AATTTGCATCAAGGCTGTAATATTTTTCAAACGTTTAATGGAATTAAATTTACAGCCGTAGCTCTGGTCACTCATATATTTTGTGTCCCATGGCTCAAATCTATTTGCGTCTGTACCCTGTTCCACTGACCTCGATAATCTGTTGGATGAAGGCACAGCTCTCTACAGTCACATAGTTAACACCAAAGGCTATGAGGGGTATTTAGGTCACAATCAATTTTATGGCTCCGTCACGGGTGCTCCAAATATTGAAGCAGGGAAAACAAATATCATAGAATCATTTCAAAAAGCATTTTTTGATTCTCATCAGCGGAATGGTTTGGGTCAGGAATGCTTCTCGTAAGAGGCGACAAACGGGATCGGATGGCCAGGCTTTGGTTGATGCATGGAATCGATACCAATTGCGTGGATCGATGCTCATGATATTAGGCACTGGATTGTCTGGTCCAGACTCGATTATTTACAGAACGCCGTCATATAGCTGGAATATTGCTGAGTGCGGCGTTAAACGACAAACCAATCAATCACCATCATATGAACTCAAACCAGTCATTGTTACAGGTAAACCACATTCCACAACAGTTACTGGCACTGGATAAAAAACAATACATAGAAAAAAACCAAGTAACTCAACTCATCATGATCACAATTACTATTCTTTGAAAGAAAGAAATACAAAAAAGGAAACTGACCAAAAAACGTAAAACAAGAGACGAGGAATCTCCATTATTGATTAGTCCCTGAATTGAAATGTTCTCCAACTACGTGATAATATTTTGAGTTGTGACCAATACACCTTATCTAGTATGACTTTTTTGCAATATGGAGACCTTAGTATTTTCATTTACATTATTATAACCAAATGCCAAGTGTAAAAGGAATGTGATCTATTATTTGAGTATGTGCATCTGCCAATGTTGTTGGCAGTTTTGATACTATTTCCACGTGTTTACATTTGTGCCAGAAATTGCTTCCATTTCCTTCGATCTACTTTTTAAATAAAGACCGAGCTTAGAATAGGTCTTCAGCAACCTATGCTTGCCGTAAGAGGCGACGCACAGGATTGGGTAGTCAGGCTTGCCGATTTGGTCGATGCATAACATCATATTGCAATTGCGTAGTTCGATGCTCTTGGTGTTAATCACTGGATGATCTGGTCCAGACTTGATTATTTACAGACCGCCTTCATATGGCTGGAATACTGCTTAGTGCGGCGTTAAACAAGAAACTATTTTTAAATAGACCTACCCTATGCAAATGTATCAACTGTATTGTCCAATACTCACAACAGCGTTGTGTTATTTGTGGTTTATATAATTATGCTCCTTCATGCCTTTCAGTAACATCATAATTATGCGTTTGTGAGGCATCACATATGGCGGGGAACTTTGATGCTGTGCATCAATGTTTTCTTGTAAGTATATGAAGGACATAATTTGACGTTCATACGTTTTTCACGAGACCGTGTTCTTGAAATGACGTAAACACTGATGAACTACTTCCACATTCCTGGGGAAACCCCTAGCACGAAAACATGCATTAGCCTTCTTTCTGATCATTTTGAACCTTTATTCTTGGTTTCAGGGTTTCAGTATACACTGAGAAATGTCAGAGAGCGTGACTGCATGATTGTTCACGAATGTCCCCGCTACGGCCCATCCTAACATGCCTAATGAACAAACGAAGAAATGCACATCTAAACTATCGAAGTATCGACTCGATCCGTGCCTAGGCTGACATTGACCAGCAATCTATGAATTTACCTTTGTGTCTGTTTGACGCATCTTTATTTACCTTTCAATGATCGGCCAGTTGATCAATGATGACTAACACATGTAACCGCCACAGGTTCATTAACAACTTCGGAAATCTCTCCCGTCACGTTTATCGTGTCGGCCATTTTGACGTTTGTACTTGATGTAAATGTATTACGATGCGCTGTCATTGTGACTGACTTACTGAGGTAGTTCTTTACATACCTTTCTCATCTAATGAGGATATGATTTGAACACATGTGCTGCGTAAGATGTTTCTGAAGAGCAAGTTGTGCATCCATACGCCCATGTCACCTCTCTTTTTGAGGAACTATTTTACTCCGCGATATAGCTGGTTGTTGTATGTCTGTCAGTGTAAACATGAAGTCGCACGTACTAAACAAAATTGTGTTTAGATCTTGGCCTACATCCTTTGAGGTAAGAAATTGTGATAAAAAAATTATAAGAATTGACTTTCACTTTGTGTGAGTTTATTGGAGTATGAACCTTCATAGAGTGAGGGCCAAACATTGTGTGAACGTCGTCGCAAGCTCCGACGTTCATACAGTATGGCCCTCACTCTTTCAAGGTTCATACTCCAATGAACTCAAACAAAGTGAAGGTCAATTCTTAAATGTTTATTGATAAAAATCTTATTTTAAAAAATATGTTGGTATGTTCTTAAAAATATCAAACATGTGATCATAAATAGTACTATTGGTATGCATGTTTATTATTACTTTACATTTATTGATAATTATATTGATATTTAAAGAAGAGTCATCCGAAGATGACATATCCCTCCGACATGGCATGTCGGTAAACTGTGTGTACCTTCAAATGTTTTTAGATTGGCAGGGAAATCCTTTTTGGTTTATGTAGCTCACTTTCTGATGATCTCAAATGTCAGGGGCTACAAATTAAAAAGATTAAAATCTATAAATAAGAAACTGAACTACTAGTGAAAAAATAGCTTCCTACATAATCTATGAGTTAATATATATTTATAATGCTGTGTAGCAGAATATTTCCACCTCATAATTAATAAATAATGTGTGCATGGATTCTTTACAATATGATGCATGTGATCTACAATGTTATACTGTTGTTACACATTGTGATTATTACTATACATCTGTTGATATTTGGATTGTTATTTTTTAATAAAGCTTATTGTATTGTTAACGTTTATTGTCTGTCTATTGTTTCCATAATGGAACTGTTGTAGTGCACTTGCTAACTGTCAGCTACAACTGGGAAGTAACCTACACACTCCACACACTAATATTATAGATGTGGGAGTTGGTAAAAATACAACAACATCTATAAGCTTGAATAAACCATGTCACTCTTTCAGTGGCCTACTGTTGGGAATGTGTGTATATAGTGACTGGGACATACTGTTGTCTACTGATGCGTTAAACCGGATTATGTCACTGGGGATTGGACAATGAAGACAAACAGCCTCGACTATCCAGTGTACAATATTCCTATTCTATTCCATCTACAATGGTAGATTGGCCACTCTCTCTCGAGTGTGTGTACTTGAGAAATTCCGATCATGTATCGCAACCCGCCGTTCCTCTCTCCAGGCAGGCGCTCTACCACAAGACCTCGGGTCATAATATCAATCACTGGTTTGTTTGATCCAGACTTCGTTATTTACAGGAAAACGTCATTTTGCATGAGTATTGCTGAGGACTGCTTAACACAACAGTTAACAAACCAACTTTCAGCAATACCCAAGGCATGACACGACGAGGATACCAAAGATTTGCTTTGCACATTGTGCCCATTTGAAGAATCTTGGTGAACTACACTATACTAATGGGACCCGACACATGACGGTCTGGGTTAGAATTGGTCTTCAGCAACCTATGCTTATCGAAAGAGGTGACTAATGGGATCGGGTGGTCAAGCTCTCTGACTTGGTTCATGCACATCATCGTATCCGAATGGAGTAGATCAATGCTCATGTCATTCACTAGATACACTGGTTCAGAGTCGAATATATTTACAGAGCGCCTTCACACAGCTGGAATATTGGTGAGTGCGTCTTTAAACAACAAAGTCCTCAACTCCACAAACACCTTATCTGCGTTCTGTCGCTCCATATCTATCATTTAAACATCAGGCAGCATCCAAACGTCCAGTTCACACATGGTGGAGCTGTTTCTAAGTATGTCCAGGTGTCCAAGGTTTGAAAAATTCACGGCTTGACCATCTTCCCAAGGCAAAGAAGTATTAAAAGTCCAGTTTCTACTCTTGCCGAACTGGAATTATGAAGTGATACTTTGGCTGGACTAACAAGTCTATGCACATAGCCCAAGCCAAATCACGTAACGAAATTGACATCCAGTTCACAACCTGCCTGGCAGATTTTGGTTGATTGCAGGATTTGCAAAGCATGTCTACGGCCAACTCTGCATCAACAGATATTTCCAAAATCTTTTCATGTATTTAATGAGGCTGCTCACCTGATTTGACACACTTCGTCAATTAAGAGACATTCTATCACAATATAGATTTGGATTATCGATCAGTTCGACTAGACTGGGCACCGCCATGTTGTTGAAGCAGATGCAAGTGGTATGAGAGGTGGAATTTGATCGGTCAATAGGAGGGAAAATAGAAGCGACATAATTCGTAATAGCCACTGGTGGCCCTACGATTGAGCCCTGAAATTCCAGCCTAGTTTGGCAAGGGTGGAAACTGGACAGTTTAAATCCCTTGCCTCAGGGAGATGCTGCATGACTTTAGGATGCATATCAAGAACAAGAAGATGAATGGGAAACACACAGGGAAACAACGACGGAGCAAGGAAACACACAACAGTTGGGAGGAAAGCAGAAGATATAGCTCATAAGACTCTTATTCACACTGAATGATTTTCATCCAGCAGTTCTGAAGAGAGCATTACTGGCGATGTTGAAACCTGTTGTGTGTGTGTGGCAAATTTACCAGTCAGGAGCTTTGGCAATGTAACAGTCTTACAGCTATTCTGTTTAATTGGACATGTTTCATTGTAACTTCAGTGGATATGATTTTCATTATGATGCGTTCAGGCTTCCATACACAATGACTGTGAATGGCATCAGTGAATGTCAACAATAATTTATCGGTAACTAAATAATGTAACAAGCATACAAAATAGTTATAAAAAGTTGTGATAAAAATAAATCTGACGCTCATTGATTAAAGGCTGGTCATGTCCTTTCACCAACAAAAGATAGAGAAACCAGGGTATATTACATAGATTATTTATTCAATATATAAAATATAATATCCACAATACTTGGTTAAAATTGCATGAGTTTGGTGATATGAGTGAAGTTTAATGAGCAATGATATTAACATAAGGCATTAGTTGCTGGTCTCTCTTATAACAAACTATTAGTTCAATTGCAGGGTTAGAAATTAACACTAGCCTGCTAGCCTGGGGCTAGTACAAATTCCTGTGGGCTAGTACAAATGTTCCCAGTTTCCCCATTGTTTTTACATTATGAGGGTATTTATCTTAACACGGGCTAGTAAAGTTTTTGAGTTTAGTTCTATCCCTGCAATTGTAAGTACAGTATCTCTTTCAATAAGGTACAAAGGTCCTTCTGTCTCATCAAGCCGACTAGCTTTTTGTCAGGTCAAATCAATGATCAGAAATACACTGCATAGCAAAATTCATCTGCAATAAATATGACAAACAAGAATTTGAACTTTGGGTTGGTAGTCTCTAATTGTTAGTAATACATCTTATAAAGGTCTATCTATTGCAACTAGAATATAAACTTAGGGAGGCAATTCTTCAGTGTACAGTTTATACAGTGAGGTTTCATAATACACTCATACTACTTTAGCCATGCTATGTGTATGAAATAATCTCTCATCTTTTTAGAGTATTCACAATATATACAATCTTACACAAAAAATATCACAAATTTGTGGCATCAAGTATCATCCCTGAATACAGATTTTCTTCAAAATCTTTCACTGAATCTAATTAAAAATAAACAAGTATCCAGATAGTCTTTCATGCATGAGAACAGACAATGTGATATTTCATTTTTAATTGATTCCTCTTTTGTAACAGGTTAACACAAATCAAGCCAATTTACTTGTACTACAAATGAAGGGTTTAATGTACCATAAACAATGTTAGTGGAATGACAATCCCAAATTTGCTATAGCCTTTGTGATAGTTACACAGCTACTTTATTGATGCTGATTAGTTTATAATAGGACATTAAGATTCAAAGGACTCATATCACATAAACATGTTGACAGAAAATAGCACTGCTATGTACATGCCATTCATGTCTGACATAATGAGTACCAAGGTCATGATACCACAAAGTATTGAAAACATAACATACACTATTAGTACATTCATTCAGAAGCATACCATCAGAATGGATTTCTAAATTACAATACTAGATGTAAACAAAAGGAGAATTGGGTTAACCATGGAAATCAGAAATAATTTGTCATAAGAAAAATGACAGACAAAATTAATCTCTCTTAACATATGAAATGTGTAAATAATTATAAACATTCCCAAAGAGTTCAGTTGCATCAACTTAAAAAAATCATTTCTGATAATTACAAAAAGAGAGTGTATTTCATAAAAATACAGATAAATGCTGTTTCAAGGTGAGCAAAATATGTGCGACATATTGATGAAAGGTGACTGTGATGTTGCAAATCTCTGGCTGAATTATTGCTAAGCTTTGTAGACAGCAGGGTCGTCATCTGAAAGCAAAACACAAAACATGTAGTACATAATTCATATATGTGAGATTTACAGGCAGGCAATTAATTGCTCGTACCAAAATAATTTGTTCTATATACATAATATATATACATCTTCCCAAGACAATGGAGTTAATTGACTGTAAAAGTCCTGTTTCCACCTGTTTTCTTGTTTATCAATCAGATTGTCTTGCCAGGGTGACGCTATTATGTTGGAAGCAAATGTAAGTGATATGACAGGTAGAATCTGATTGGTCAGTAGGAGGGACATAGAAGGGACATAACTCATTATAGCCGCTGGTGGTGCTACGATCGAGCCCAGAAATTCCATCCTAGTTTGGCAAGAGTGGAAATTAGACTTTTGTAGTCAGTTAACACCCTTGCCTCGGGAAGATGATATATATATATACTTAACAAGTTCATGGGTAGTAAAATTAATTAATTAACAGAATAAGTACATCTTGTTTACTGCTTCTACTAAGTTCTACATGGTACTCATGTAAAATAAGAGAAACTAAAAAATCAGAAACTATGAAAAATATGAAATATAAAAAACATAATACATGCGCTTCTAAGATCAAAGGATGTATAGTGTGAAAAGTTAACTAGTTGAACAATCGTATTTCCGGGACTTGCCGCGGATGTTTTCAAACAGATTATTAGAACTCCATTCAGCGATAAACGGTTGATTATGCAATGAGAAGCGTTATGTGCAAATGAACAACGAACAACAATACAATTATGTCTGTGTAAAACTCTCATTAATAAAAGTGTACATAAATTTTGGGAGCCATGCGTTACCGCGCGTAGTAACCGAGGTAGCGCTTTATCGAAGAGCGCAATAGCGAGGGATCACTGTATATTAAAATAATCACATCTAATTGCTACAAGTATGGTTAGTATGCCACACAGTATTGGGAAATAAGATGAAACAAATAATATATACCTGTATACAGGTAAAATATAGCTATTTCATTCACTTTCATTAACTTTCTGATCTCAGTTTTATAACAGGACTACATATACTGAGTAGCCTTTCAATGCTGTCCAACAAGAGATGGATAACACTTAACAGTATTAATTATGATTGATGCGGTTCCATTGCAAAACATGCTAAATGTATTGCCTATCAAAGTCCTCCACTTTGCAACAATCATTAACACTAAAACAACTACGCGTACTAGAAACATCAGATTTCCCAGTCATAATCATAATATTTATCCTCAGTTTTCTTGAATAGTTCATAAAAGATACTGTCACACATAGGTAAATACATCATTGTGATGTGTTAGTCAATGAATCATCATCAGAAACATGTCTATCAGTGTACAGTGTGTGTTAAACTGAAAGATTCATGAGGATAATGACACATGACATGGGATAATGTTTTAGTGAACTATCTCCAATTATGTTGCATTAAACTACTTGAAATATGCCATTATTGTAGTTGATCTACGCACCTCTTCTCACTTATATTTTGTAGTAAATTACATACCTGTGCTCAAATAGGTCATTTTGTATTAAAATTCACACATATGTGCTCAGTTACATCATTATGGAATAAATTAATACACCTGTGATAAGTAATGTTATTTTGTAGTAAATTCACACACCCTAGCTCAATATATGTTACCATTGTGGCATATCCATTTACATGTTTTCGAAAATATCATTTTGTCGTAAATTTCAGATACATGCACTGGATAATGTCATTTTGTAGTACATTCAACCACACGTGACCGATATAGGTTACCATTGTATATATAGCCAGACAACTGAATGTGTTATTTTGTGATAAATTCACACACCTGTGCTAAATAATGTCATTTTGTAGTAAATTCACTCCAGTGGTCACTAAGTCAGTTTTTGTTCATATGTTAAATCTATGCATAACAATACATAAGTGGTGTGTGGAATCAATATCTATCCACTTTGACATACACAATTGCCAGGGTTATACTTGCAAAAGTAAGTCGTGAGGAATTAGATTGTTATTGGATATTTTGAGCCTGAGGTATATAAATTTAATCATTGTATACCTTTAGAGTTGATAGACCCTTTGATCACCTGCATGTATAGAATAGTAAATTCTTATTCAAAAGATGTATATTATACAGATAAGTTTAAATAAAGTTATACAAACATATCACCCAAGTGTCTAATACATCAATATTGCCAGGAAATACATGCAATTGTTTTCAGGACATGAGAATAGGTGGAAAAGGGTGACAGATACTACAACTACAGTCACAAGGCCATATGCTTCAACCAGTATGTTGTATGACGTCATGCAGTATTTCTTAGTTTCGATTAATTATACATTGATTCTTGTAAGTTGATGGTCTATTATAAATCATATTCAATAATGCATTAGACGCCTCTGTCTATAATAGTGGGTTATCTCTATACAACAGCAGACATTCACAACAAAGGTTTGCAGACAAATATCATATGTAAATGTTAACGGTTGAAAACAGGAAAAGCCAATATAAAGTAGTCACAATTATCACATTCATGGTATTCAATGCAACATATGCTTAAATGACTAATATTTTCCAATATTGATATGTTGTAAGTTCCTGTTTTCAGGGAGAGAAGATGTAGAAGCGATGATTTGAATGAGTTAGCGAGTAAAGACACTGTCAATATGAAGCGTTATGTTAGTATGGGACTTGGGAAACAGATACGAAGGCATGACGGAAATCACGTGGTTACCTTCCTACCAGGCTCATATGATACTTGTATAATCAACTTCCTGTCGGGTAACCCGGGACCTCACAGAATGGTTGAAAGTAGCTGGGGCTTCAAAAGTTCAGGAAATACATGTTTAGTGTCTTCCCATTATCATAGGAAAACATGAGTTTGGCTTAACACAGGTTTGAACACTATTTCAGTTACTTTTATCACAGTGTCAGCTTCGAGTTGGAGCAGAGCCTAAGGTGATGCAGGCTGTGACACCTACAAGCATGGGTATGGTGCTGACAAACCAAGGGTCATTTAGGGAATCCATCTTTGATAGATATTTTTGAAAATGGCATTTCTATCGTATACAGAAACCGACACTGAAACAAATTATTTCGGAGATAGGGTAATTTGTATAGAACTATGAGCAACAACGCAAAGATTCATGTTATTTGTCTTTTAGATATATATTATTTTAGTCATGTATATTTGCACCTATTATCACATTGTTTTTATTTTCTACTTGTTAATAAAATATAAGATTTATATCTTTGATTAGTAGTGCAACTTGCATTACCCAGAGTGTTAGCATTGTCAATGAATAAAAATTTCTATCTTAAATTTTTAGAATCACTGCTGAGAGGCATAATATATTGGTAGAAATTAACTAAATAGTAAGAGATATTTGTCAAAATGTACCTGAAATAACATATTGTGGATTATCAAAACTCTTCTCCACAGTTTGTGGCAGCATATATCTTGGCCCACTGATAACTGATGCTGTTTTTGATGGGACATAGGCAAGAGGGTAGTCATAGGGTCCTCTGGTTGCTGCCAGGCTGGCTCGGTCATCATACTCACTGGGAGTCTGCCTTGACGGTGCAGGTCTGTAATAATGATGAAAATAACAATAACAACAACAACACCAACAACATACTCTTTAAATCTTCTTCAACACATATTTGGCCATATTGGTTAGGGAGAGTCTTCTATGAATACTGCAAAAATCATAGGATCTTGAAATGTGAAAAGCATGTGTCATTCGGAATAGATTCAACTGGAAAAATTAATTTGTATTATAAAACTGAAATCATCTTACTTTCTTCGACGATACAGACATGCTGCTATAAGGATGAGCAGCAAGATGAAGCCAAGGATTCCGATAACAAGACCCACAATTGTTAATGTCTGCTGGTTTGATACAAGCTCAGCCGCTGAAACAAAACAAAGAATATATGTCTGATATATCTATTATTGGAGACTTAAGGCAAAAAACACATATTTATTATGTTATGATGCTGGTCATGAAAGATATAGAGATAATTCATCAATTGTAGGACATTTCAGATATAATACAAGTTGTCAAGAATGAGCTCACCAGCCCCTACTTCTGTCTCTGAGCCCTCAGCTTGCGGTATACTGAGGCAACACTTTTATATTTAATGGCAGCATTAGAAGTTGGCACTAGTCCTGTAGTCCTTGCAAAACTGCCCAGTAGTTAAGGTATCATAAGGACTAGTAGAAATATGCCATTTTTAAGGGTTTTGCTATATCTTATAAGGACTAGTGGACTGAGTTTATGAGTTCACAGATTTAAAGATCAGGAACCAAAGCCACGATCACATAATAAAATAAACATAGTTTTAATTTATTTCCATTTTCCCTAAAGCCTTATCTTTGATGGGTAAGATGTATTGTATCAGTCCCTTAACAAATGAACTAAGCCTTCACTGACAGAAGTCAGTACATGTACATCTTACTGCAAACCTAGTAAACATTCTAAACAGAATTAGTGTTATGTTTTCCCACTAAACTTATCACAAATTGTATTAAGCTACAGAAATTTATTCTTATTCTTCCATTTTCACATAACCAAGCTAATTGGTTACCAAATAGATGTGTTAATTATCAAACATAAAACTTGTGGTCCATGTTTAGAGACTAAAACAGTACTGGAGCTTGTTTAAGGATAGTAAAAAAGAATGTCGTCAATGTGGGTGATTGTCTACTGTATAGTGAGTACAGTATTAGCTGTAAATGCAAAAATTCACAAATGACGGGGCATTTATCAAAACCATACACAAGGTAAATCGGTGATAGAGAACAAACTTGGTTCAAACGATTTTATAATGATTACTAGGCAATGATGTACCCCTTCTACACTGCTGTTTTCTGTAAACAATTTGTAATATACACAAGAACTGTAATATAGCTTATAAAGATTACTTACAGGTTGGTGTAGAAGTTGGAGTAGAGTGCTTTATATGGCTAATACAGTATACTAAGTCAAAAATATTTATCAGATATCAATCCTCAGAAGACATTGGACATGCATATGGCTAACATAACAGTCATCTTGGTTACATATGTTTAAGCTAGAAATATATCTCTATGCAAAGGCATCAAGAACTTTCAGACCTGTGTCTAACAGTAAAATCACTGATCACTGGAAATCCTTGGAAGAAGACATCAGATATACATTAGGATAAAGTAACAGATAATCATTCAGGTTTCAGGTTCAAGCTAGAAATCTCTAAACAAAGCACCGGGAACAGGCAGGCCTGTGTCTAACAGTGCCATCCTTGATCATGGGAAATCATCAGACATGCACTAGGGTATGACACAGTTATCCAGGTCAGGGCTGTAACCATACACTCCAGCCATTGTGGCCACCTAATGCCCATTGGAGCAGCTTGTGACAAACATGAGCGGGCCTATCTGACAGCCCAGTGGTCAACTCACCTCGTCTTATATCACACTGGTCCCCCATATAGAACTCGGTACACTGGCACTGTGCAGGTGGGCCACGGGTACAGGTGCTCCCATGTTTGCAGTAGTCCAGGTCACACACATCTGAAACAAAAACAACCAACAGTTGTATGTAGAAAGTTAAATATAAATTGTTCCTTTATCCATTGAACCAAAAAACAGTATAAAATAAATAAAAACATATTTATTCCACCAAATACAAATAAAACATTATGCATGTTTCATGTTTTCCCCTATCTACCAGCCAGAGTTTTTCATACAAATCTTGTAACAAACAAACTCCATCTCTCTTAAAAACATATTGACATCAACTAAATATTGCTTCACTCACACTTTTGCGAGGAGCGTTTTAGAGCCAGAGCCTTTGCCCAGATTCCTCAAAATCAGATGTGGCGGGGAAATACCAGTATTTTCATATACATATATATATACATAATTTATGTATACTTACGGGTGCAGGTAAAACCATTGCCTTGGAAATTGGCATTACATTCACACTTGTACTTGGTAATGCGATCTTCCACACATCTGGCATTAGATGAACAGTTGTTACTTGTGTCACAGAAACCTACAAAGAAAGATGTCATTACTGATAAAGTCACCTTCATTGTTTAGCCAGGCACATTCTTGTTGATATGGAACCCTGTGAATGAGTAACTGAACGTTGTCCAACACTAAATTCAGTAATAAGAATGAATTCCACCTTGAACGCCACTTCATATTTTGCCTGGGTTAGGACAAACTAACCCTCACCCTACATAAATAATTTTTTAATGTTTGTTTACATATTTATCTAGGACCACTTTGCAGTGATGTATCTTGAAGTTATTTTGAGAGGCATGTGTTGTCATCTTGTAACTCCTTCATATTGAGGGGTGGTTGGGTAGCCTAGTGGTTAAAGCTTTTGCTAGTCACGCCGAAGACCCAGGTTAGAATCCCAACATGGGTACAATGTGTGAAGCCTATTTCTGGTGTCCCCCGCCGTGATATTGCTGGAATATTGCTTAGAGGTGGTGGAAAACCATACTCCTTCATATTGACCACTGTGTACATGTATATGTACATGATTTCAATACCAAATGAATCTGGTTGAAAGCCATCTATTTTTGTCAAATTTATCATCTTGGAATAGCATATATGAGTAGGAGCCAGGGACAGATCCACTGACATAAGGCTACGTTATGATTTTCTCAGTGCCAAGAACTCTTAGTGGAACAGGGCCCTGGTCAGGTGTTTGATCTGCTAACTGATTTGAATGAATATTCAACTCAACTAATGGAACTTTCCAAGACCATATTTACTCCAACTCAATCAATACAGGTAAGTAAACACTGAATAAACTAGAAATGATAACAGAATGGTAAGGTGGATGCAAGACACCATACTATGATATAAACTTTACTGGTTTATAACTGTGAAATTAGTCTCACCTACACTACTACATGTAGTACTACACAACAACACCTCCTGTGGTGCAGAGTCTCGCTGTGCAACTTACCAACGCAATCTGATTGACTTCTGCTGCCCATAGTTGTGGTGAACTTGGACGAAGGACATTTCTTACACTCAAATGTGGATACTAAATCTTGGTAATAATTGAGAGGGCAGTCAACACATCTACTCTCATCTCGTTTAAAGTATGTTCCTTGTAAGCAGGCAGCTGTAAGAATAGTCAGACCAGGTTAGTCATTGTTGTCCAAGTGAAACATTTCATTAAACATTATCATGATACATTAAATATTAAGCCTTCCGTCTATGTTATTTAGTAAGCAATATGCAATACTTATCAATATCAAAATAATTGTCAAATAAATGTATGTTCGAAAATAAAATTAAAGAAGAATGTTTTATAACATATTGTGAGCTGTTATATTGCAGCTTAATAAGTTCATCAAGGCAGTGAGGGCAAAACAAATAGTTGACAGTTAAGAAAAAGAAAGCTAGTTCACAAAAGAAAGCTAGTTCACATCTGAGAAATCAGGCAGAGTGTTACAAATAATTTACACTTCTGGGAACATTATCTGTAGCTAGCAATATGTGGTATTTTTTTAACAAGTTTGACTGACAAAGATGCAACAAACATTGAGCCTGCTGGCAGACAGATATTTCACATACTAATCTTAACCTGACCTGCAGTGTTTGGTGCTCCATTAAATTTGTAATAAAAAGGGAAAGAGAATGTTAAATGGAAGGTTTAAATTCCAATGTTCTTTACGTTCTTGAGCAATTGTGATCATTTTAAAGTAAATTTGAAGGTTCACGGTAATACTGAACAGGCTACAAAACTAATTATCAATACACTGATTATTGCTTATATCTACCATCATAACAACAGTTTCTATAGAATAAACTGTTTGCTACCTGTTCATAGATATGACTATGAATCAATTTCTTAACATAAGGCCACGAAAAACAATGTTAATAATAACTGAACAAGGAGGTACTTACACACGTTGCAGGCATTCACTGACGGGGCCCCCACATTCGAGGTCTTGAGGCCAGCGGGGCATGGTTGACAGGTCCAGGTGGTCTTGTTTCTGTAGAAGTCTGCAGGACAGTCTGTACAGGCATCCCCGATTTGTGTCTTGCCTGCTTCACAGTCACCTAGATAGAACAATTAAATTACCTTTAGACATAAACAAAGGAAATCACAGCAAATTGTCATATACAAGATATATGTGATGTAATAGAATTTAGAATATTTATACATTGATTGTATATATATTTGTAATGTACAATACATAAGTACTTTTCATATAAATATTATTTCATGTAATATTCAGGATGAGCTTCACACTGTCAACATAAAAGTGTGAAATCGTATGACAACCCCATGTATTGAAAATGCCTAATTTAAAAAAAAATGAAATTTATGTAGGTCACATCTAATTCCTTGAGTGATCATGCAAGTGGAAAATGTGTTTATTCTAGGTTCAGATGGACCAGTGTGTTTGTCATATTGTTCAACAAATATGCTGGTCCATAAGAAAACTTCCAGCACAAAATGTCAGAATTGTTTTAAATTGTGGTGGTCTGATAGACTAGTGGAAAAATATCTTTTGCCAAACTGCTGTAGTTTGCTCTTATCTAATGAACAGGGTGACACAAGTGGGATATTTGCTGTTTAGAGGTGAGAAAAACTGATAGTGATTTTTCTTTGGTACGGGACCTTTTGGTTACTTGACAAACTGTATTTGTTGAACCCTGTATTGTGTTTCGAGAGATACGTGGCTACACTTACGAAGACAGCTTGCCGAACTTGGACTTTTCGTGTTGCGTGTGGTGTAACCCGTTGCACATGTCTTGCAAGAATCCTGCCATTTCGTGTCCTGGTAGGTTCTGACAGGGCAGTCTTCACAGAGGTTGGTAGTACTATTTCGGTACTGTCCAGGGGTTGTGCAGTTTTCTTGAAAGAGAAAATGAACAGAGAAAATTAATTTGTATTTCTTAGTGCAAATGAGTAGGCAATGATGACTTTTTAAAATGAAGACATGCAGAGAGAAGGATCTCTTTAGCATCCGCTCCAAAATAATGACTGAGAGTGAGCGATTGAGTGAGTGAGTTTGGTTTAACGCCACTTTGAACAGTACTTCATTATAGCATAGTGTGTCAGCTTGATAAAGAGAAAAGCCCATAATGATGCTGGAGTTAGATGTTTACCAAATTGTGGAATGCAAATGCAAACAGAAAAGACTTAGGCATGATCAAAGGCTGTATATATTATAGTGATTTGCTAAAAATTGTTTGTGAGAAGAAGAATTGTATGAGACACAGACTTATTAAGATCCAAATTACTTACTGACAGTACAGCTGGCAGCAGATGTGGCTCCAGGTCCAGCAGTGATAACATTGGTGTCAAAACACATGATACACTGCGACAGTTCGGGATTGAGCTTGTCCTGATAGTAGCCTTGGGGACATTGTTCACATTTACCTGTGCCAGCGTTGAACTGCTGTCCCTTACTACAATCCACTGTAACAGAGGTATGATTGATGGTGTCAGGGTACAAGATACATGGTACAAAATGTTACTCAAGATCTGTGATGAATGATTCTAGATTAATATGACTAAACAAATGCACCTTGACAAACTCCATGTATAAACTCCACTGTGACATCTTTAATAAGCCAGAACATGCCAGAATTGACAGCAGAACAACTTACCAACACAGTCTGTTACAGCCATTGCTCCCAGACTATATGTTGTACTTCCGGTATCACATTTATCGCAATTTGACTGCCACTTTTTAGGTTGGTAGAATCCGTAAGTACATGGTTGGCAGGAAGTAGAGGAGTCTTGAAAATACCCGGCTGGACAACCAACTGAAAACACAAAATATTTGTCATAACTGTTGCTATTTTCTTGGATTCAATTATACCTGGCAGACATAAAAAATCGATATCATTTTCTTAAATTTTTCACTCTTTCAACAATTTTGAAACTTATCTTCATTTAATATTTTCTTTTGAATAAACAACAATCTTGAATATGGTAAACTTGATAAATAAGCAAATTAATCAACAAAATTAAACATTTAGTGGTCTAACCATTTGGAAGATTCTTACTTTGGTTACAGTCTGTTGAAGCGATGGCTCCACTGCCTGATGTTGTTTTGTTTGTAGGACATTCCATACACGGAGAGGCCTTCTGTTCACTCTTGTAGAATCCCTGCTTACATAAGACACAGACCCCAGCAATGTCTTCCTTGCCTGGAGGACAGCTCACTGGAACACAGGAGAAGTTAAGCTGAATGTTTTTTACCACATGACTCATGTTTTGGGTCCAAAATCATGTACTCCTATTTATGTCCTTCAAAATACTTATTCCAATAGTGTCTTCATTGAGTGAAACTCAGACCTAAACACTGTCAACAATAGTCAAAATCATTATGGACTTGTGGGAGACCCCATCAGGGCTAAATGTCCTTCAATCTAGGTTTGACAGTTCTGCTACTTGTCTGCTAAGAGGAACGTTTCTCTTGAGAGTGATTACCATAAAATAACTGGTTAATTATTTGATAACCTTACAAATCAGTTGAAACATAACAACTGAATTCTGTCATTCAGTGTTTGATAAAAATTATCTTGATGCTTCTTAATGATAGCATATGTCAGTTTTGGTGACTAAGTTCTATATTTGTAACCCATAATCTTTCAGGCCTAGGACTTACTTTTTTGAAAAAGGCAATCCCTCATAACATGCTTTGATGTTTTGACTTGGTTAAAATGTAACTTCCCTTCACCTTCATGTTTATTTCATTTTAAAATTAGCCCGTTGTGAAATTGTGTTCCTAAGATATTGTGCTCCTAATATATAGCTTTGGCTTCAACAAAAACAGACCACCTCCATCCTCTAGTGGTAGAGCATCCACCCGGATGGTTCGGGGTTTGTATCCCGGCCGTGTCCAACCAAAAGATGTTAAAAGATTGTACATGTTGTTACTCTGCCTGGTGCTCAGGATTAAGGGGCTGAAACAAGGACTGGTCGGCTCGGATTCAGTATACTATTTTCATGCTAAACTGTGATGCATGCATGCATCCACCCACACCCATCCTCATCCCCCACCGCACGTGAATGCACGCTATGTCGCTATGTAACTGCATCCTGGACGTGACGTTAGACCCCATTTCACCTCAACAAATACAAAGGAGTCAGAATAGTTAAACCTACACATAACCTGCCAAAAGACCAAGATACTCACAGATACAGTCAGTGGCTGATGTGGCCCCACTGGTGGATGTGGTCTTGTCTGTGGCACACATGGCGCAGTTTGTCTGCCACTTCTGTGACTGGTACGATCCTTTGGGACAGTCCACACATCCTGTGCTTGTTGTTTTCTGGCCGGCAGTGCAGTTGTCTGGGAAACCAACGCTCAATTTAAACACTGATGTCAAAGACAAGTGTGTAGTCAGTTTCAAGGGAGCCCAAACTTCCTGAGATACACAATGGGCAAATATGATACGGAACCTGCTGCAGTCACAAGATGAATGTGACATGACCAAGCAGCTTATTCTCCCATCCTGGCAACATGTTGGAAGAGTTGAATCAAACTTCTTATTTCCAAACAACTAATCCAACAATTTAATTGAGGATGAGTTCGTCATATCAAAATAAATTGTATATCAATAACAAAAAACAAGTCATACATACAAGATACTTCTTATTTTAATAATGATAGTTCTTATATGCAACTGATATGATACTACTACTGCTGATAAATAAGTCCAACTTACGAACTGAACAGTCACTACTAGATGTAGATCCTGTTGATGCAGTGATGAAGGTAGATGAACACATAACACATTCGCTGAACACACCAGCACTGTTTGCCTTATAGAAACCCCTCGCACATGGTTTACATTGGCCTGTGGTCATATCCTTGTCAGAACCAGATGGACAATGTGCTGAAAATATCACACAACTGTATTAGAGGACATACATCTGAGAACTGATATGCATGATTTAATGCTGAACTCACTATAAACTACCCATGTTTACTTCTATCTCCACTCACACTGGTATTCACAAACATTACATTTTACTCTCGATAATGTTTGATGTATCTTCGTAGAACATAGAACATATCTTGAAAACATATCTTGAAAACATAGCATTTCAAACCCTGACTTACTAGTACCTGAGAAACTGTTGGGAAAGATGGAGAGTGAAAAGAGATTGGAAAGAGGAAGAAGAGACAGAAAGAAGAGAATCCAAAAAGGTGGAATTTGGATAAGACAAGACAAAGGAGAGAGATTGAACGACCCTATAACAAAACAAGAGCAACAGATGAGATGGTGAAGAACTATGGGGATAAGATGAGAAAGAGAGGAAATAAACCATTTCAAGATAGATGCCAAGAGATTACACTTAAAACATACAAAATATCTAAACTGAATTCTGCCTGTGTAAAAACTCACTGACCTTCACATTGTGTGACATTAACAGTGGCATTCTGTCGGGTGGAGGTATTACCGGGACACATCTTACAGGAACTCTTATATGGTTCTGGTTGATAATAGCCCACAGGACATGCCTCACATCCATTGCCCACAATCTTGTAACCAGCTTGGCACTGGTCTGGAAACAGAAAAGAGTTAGCACTGAACAACTGAGTCAACAGTTGCAGGAGTCCTTCCCTGAGAGTACATTCATAATGTGTGTGTGGGTGTGGTATTGTTCTTTAAAGCGGGGGCAATATTGTAACTCCATCAAGGTAGGCTGTCAAAAACTTAGTCTGGAACAGGTAAACCAGTGACTGAAAGCATGAGCAACAATTGCATAACTATACACTATCAGCCAAGTCACTAAGTCTGATTGCTAGAAATTAAGAGATTTCACTGTCATAGTAATTGAATCTAGGAACCCCCTTAATTATCAGTTTTTACAATAGGCTTATGACAAGAACCCCTTCACTTTCAATCTTGAACATTGTTCCTTAGTCAGCGCTTACAACGAGTATGATACTGTGTGGACCTCTTCTGCTTTGGAATCTCCACTGGGGCATACTTTCGTAGAAATGAAGTACATTCATACATAGAAATCATTATGAACATTAAAATTAATTTAGAGATCAAAGAACTTGTGACAAATTTGTTTTTAAGATGTGTAAATTGACTTTACTTACATATATTGCACTTTGCAGCTGAGTCAGCTCCAGGTGCAGATGTCACGAAATTGATTGGACACTTTTCACATGACATGAACTTATAGACACTATTGTCCTTGTAGTAGCCTAAAGGACATGTCCGACATGAACCATCTGCAAGCTTCTCCTGACCTCCATTACAATAAGCTGCAGTAGAAAACAATATATTCCATACAGACTGGTTGTGACAATTGTATGGGTCAGCAGATATTCTGATGATGCATGAATGAGGTATCAGTTTCACGAGAAAGAACATAAAAAATAATTCTAGGTCAAACATTCAAAAGATATTGTAGGTCAGTCTGAAATTATGAATCTTTGTTTAAAATTTAAGTTTATCAAACTTTGTTCGATGATTATTATTTCCCTGAAAAACTAGAGGAAATACAAAATAAACGCAATACAATAACTAAAGTAATACTGGCGGCATGGTTGGCCCAGCCCTCTTAGGCGCCGCGATTCGCTGTGCAGAGTTGCGTCCCTTGGGCACGCCAAAAACCTATGATTGTGGGTTCGAATCCTGGTTCGCCTCGATTATGTTTCTAGGTTGTCAGCACCATACCTGTGCTCGTGGGTTTCACAGACGTGGTAAATGTCTGAGACCTGCGTTACTTTGGGCTTACCTCCCACAATAAGCTGATACACCACAATATAACTGGAATACTGTTAAAAGCGGTGTTAACACCAAGTCACTCACTCACTCACTCACTATAAGAATACTCCACCAATCAGAGGCTGTGAATGAAAACATGTGAGATATCTGCTGATAGCAGGCAATGAGTTAGAGATATTTATTTGAGGTGGTGAATGTCTGTGGTACTGACCTTCACATTGTGTCCTGCTTTGCGAGCCATTCTGGCGAGTGCTGGTTTGGCCAGTACAGGAGATACAGTTTGGCTGGTTTGACTGATTTTGATATGTCCCGAATGGACAGTTAACACAGTTTGCATTGGTTGAGTCTGGTTGCTGTCCAACTGGGCATTTCACTGAAAAAACATAAACAAAAATACCCTTTAAAATGTTATCACTTCAGAGAATAAGAAAATATGTATGGACAGAACAGTTAATCTAATTCTAGAAGAGAAAAGTCTTAAAGACAAAACATAAAAAATAGACTAAAACATGTATCAACATGTTCTCATATATTTCAGAATTTTTGTTTTTGTTTTCAATGTGGGTACTCACAGATGGAACAATCACTGAATGACTTGGAGTGGGTTGATGCAGTGCTGCGGTCAGGGCCACATGATGCACACACATCATATGGTAGGAGGGTTTTATTCCGATAGAATCCGACCGGGCAAGGGATGCATGTGTCCACATTTTGTTGCACAAACCTTTGAAATCCATCTTCACAAACAACTGAAAAAACATTGTGATCTTATATTAAAACTGAGATGCAGATTTATCTATGCAGGAATAAACATTCATAATCAATAAAACAAAAAAACATTTCTCATCAAAGTTTGCACAACAGATATGTGTACAAATATGACATTTGTGGTTGCAGGAATTTAATTGACAGGGCTGCTGTATTTAAGTGAAGCGAAATACTGATTGAAGATTAATCATTCATATTTGCTAACTAATGACTGTATCCTTTATCAAGCTAAGTGCAGTAATGACTTCTAGTGACTTATACAAGTCAAGAGAAGAATGAAATCAATGTCAATTTTCAAAAGAAAAACCAAATATGGTATCTGTCGACCAGCAATTTGAGTGTTACGCCTACATTTTATCGACAGATGGATTACCAACTAGCACACACCAAGTGTGGACCTGGATACCTACATCTACACTCTGCTGCAGATGTTGAGCCATCTCCCACTGTGATGTACTGAGGGCTGCTGCCACACGCCTTGCAGCTGTACTGCTGCTTCAGATCCTGGTAGGTTCCACGTGGACATTTCAGGCACTCAGTCTGCTTCACGTTGTTCCGGAAAAACCCAGCTTGACAGTCCCCTGAAGGAATGGAAGGACTTAATGGTGAGTGAGCCATGTTTATGCTTTTCGCCATAGTTTCCAAATTGTTGTTTTGTATTCATACATATTCAGACTTCTGCTGCTAGCCTTGGATAAATACTTAAGAATTGACTTTCACTTTGTGTGAGTTCTTTGTAGTTTGGCCCTCACTCTATGAAGGTTCATACTCCAATGAACTCACACAAAGTGAAAGTCAATTCTTATAATTTTTTTATCACACTTTCTTACCTCAAAGGATGTAGGCCAAGGTCTAAAGACAATTTTATCTAGTACGTGTGACTTCATGATTACACTGACATCCGTACAACAACCAGCTATATAGCAGAGTAAAATAGTTCCTCAAAAAGAGAGGTAACATGAGCGTATGGATGCACAACTTGCTCTTCAGAAACATCTTATGCAGCACATGTGTTCAAATCATATCCTCATTAGATGAGAAAGTTCTGTAAAGAACTACCTCAGTAAGTCAGTCACAATAACAGTGCGTCATAATACATTTACATCAAGTACAAGACGTCAAAATGGCCGACACGATAAACGTGACGGGAGAGATTTCCGAAGTTGTTAATAAACCTGTGGCGGTTACATGTGTTAGTCATCATTGATCAACTGGCCGATCATTGAAAGATGAATAAAGATGCGTCAAACAGACACTAAGGTAAATTCATAGATTGCTGGAGACAGTCAGTGTCAGCCGCAGACACGGATCGAGTCGATACTACGATAGTTTAGATGTGCATTTCTTCGTTTTTTCATCAAGGGGTTTCCCCTGGAATGTGGAAGTAGTCCGTCAGTGTTTACGTCATTTCAAGAACTTGAGTAAACTTTAAATTAAAAAAATTTTAAATCTTGATCTACTGATACAGAATGTCCAGCACTTACCAACATTGCACAAACTCATAGCATCCGCTCCAGTTGAATTAGTTGTCAGGCCAGTAGCACAGTCTTCACACTTGGACATAACAGCACTGCGGTACTTGCCCAGGGGGCATTCTTGGCAGGTTCCATTTGGGGCCAGCTGATGCCCCTTACCACACCCAACTGTAAAATAGGTCAATGTTCACTAAGGTTATAAGTCAACATTATTTAATCAAAGAGTCAATCCAGTGTCTGTTAATTCCCAAGGTGTTAAAGTTGTTGTTCATGAGATAAGTATAATTGAACTATTACAAACAAATTAGCTTTATACTTATACAGTTTGACAGTCAACAAGTAAGACAATCTTACTGTATACATGTCTACAGAGATAATACAAATACAAATGACAATCCTACCACGGAATACGGTGTGACTGAGGTATAACAAACGTGAGTGATTATCTTACCGTAGCACTGGCCTTCAGAGATGGAGGCTGTGGTTCTGGTTGTTTTCTCCACAGAGCAAGGGTAGCAGAAGAACTGGCCTGTCATGTTTTGATAGAACCCGATTGGACAAGGAAGACAAGTGTTGCCAGCATTGTCAAACCTATGACCAGTTGTGCAAGTAACTGTAAGAATAGGTTAAGATACATAAATACAAATAAAGCTTATCTTACATCATGGTTATGACTTCTACTATATTTTTAAAGTTGGATTATAAAAAACAACTAATCCAAAATATACTTACAACTTGTTTGAAAACCAACATATATTGCTGAACTGGTGGATAAATCAAAATGATTTCCCATACCAGAATTAATAATTGTTAAGTCTGACACATAACAACATACTTCCTTGCACTCCATCTTTGTTCCCTCAATATGGCATCTATTACTGCAACTGCAAGTTACGCAGTAAGATAGTCATCTCTCAATTTAAATCTGAGGACATAGTGTTTAGTTCTGCTTTGAGCAGATTTTCAGTCACAGGAAAGCACTTGTTTCATACTGTAGGAGACTAACATTTGGACCCAGAAATAAAGTTGTCATATTTAAAAATATAAATCTACAAAATAAACAAGCTCAACAATGCTTAATTTCAGGCCTAGGCCTGAAGCATTCTGGTCTTGAGTTGAAATCCTTTTTAGTTTACTCTCTAGGGGCTGGGACACAGACCAAACCAAACATAGAAACTAAATTCCTGCTGTACGATGGGTGAAGAATGAGAGAGTTGAGAATTTAGATACTTTTGGCAATATCATGACAGGACATCAACTGATCAAGAGGGAACTTCACACTGTGTCCGATGTTTGAAACGATGGCTGAGCTAATGGAGGAATGACAACCCATCAAATACTCACCTTTGCAGTCACTTGCACTAGATGACCCAGCAAGTTCTGTTGTCTTGCTTCCACAGGGCAGACAGCTAGACTGAGCCTCATTCGGCTGATACTGACCGACTGGACACAGGTCACATGTCATTGTGGCAGCATTGTAGTAGGTACCGGGAGCACATTTTACTGTAACAAATATTCATTTTTGTCACTAATAGTTAAGCAAATACTAAGAGTCAATTTGTGGATGAGCTATGCTATGGGGATTTCCTGGGTAGCACATTCTACAAGCTATGTTACATTAGGGACCGGCCATTTGATGTTCGTGTTCGGGGGGGGGGGGGGAAGAGAGAGAGAGAGGAGAGGAAATGCCATGATTTTATTGAAAATGCATATCCTGCCAAAGCTCTTTTGATGATAAAAATGCAGTCAATGTGTAAGGATTGATCATGTTGCCTTTATCATAATGTCCTTCACAGTTATTAAATCAGAATAGATTTTTTGGTGTTAATTGATTCTAATTCTAATTTCTCACACCTATTTTCAACTGGATACATAGTTTATGTTGTCTGATTCTGCTACATACCACATTGTCCGTTAACAACTGCCTGTCCTGTGGCACATGAGATGGAAAGAAGTATCTTAACGAGGTCCCTTATAGGAACTGCATTTGGGATGTTCCGCTGTGGAAAACAAAGACAAAAAATTTAACAGAATTTACAGAAAGATGCTACACAAGCACACCAAACTGAACATCAGTGTCACAAATAGAGCATCGATAACATATTGCTCCAATTTATACAATACAGTAAACTACAGTCATAACAAACTCAAAGGGACCACTAATGTTAGTTTATAATAACCGTAGTTCATAAGCATATATACAGCATATATACAACAAATGTCCAGAACTAAAAAATATGTTTGTTATATCGGTCAGTTCGATATAAGCGTGTTTGTTATAAACGTAGTAGGAAATGAGCACAATCCAGTTGTTCTATTGTCTTAATGAATTGTAGTGGTTTAACCCTCATGGTGCGTGGACGTCAGTCAGCCTGCAAACCGCTCAGTGCCGCACTGTGCTGAAGTCGCGGTTACAAAAACGTATATATTGTATCAAAAGTGTTGCAACGTCTTTATTTCTTCACACAGTGTAACCAAATTGTATAACATGCAACTCGAGTTGATTGTCTTTCCAACAGTATCTAAAGTCACCAAATCCAAAAGATCTATGCACTGCCCAGCCATCGATAAAAGTGCTGGTATTATAAGTTTCCTACTTTTCCACGTTAATCGTAATATGGACGCACCCGAATATGGCAAGCAAAGTCAAGTAAGCGCCCTTGTTTGCAATCTAAATGACCAATAATTCATATCATTGGCAAGTACATGTCCGAACAGTGATAGACATATAATATTTATGTTGAAGTACACATTCACTGAGAATTTTCCGTGAGTTATATTTACTGAAAAAAAACCCCGATGAAATTGTGCGTGTTTCTGACGTCAAAACAAAATTGACGGAAGTGGTCGTGATTAATTCATACACAGACTGTTTCAAAGATTATGTCACAAAATATATGACAGTTTGGAATGTATATCTTGAAGAAATCCCGGTTACGTCCATGTATGTTTCAATGACCGTGCTCTTTTATTAGTGATAGCAGCCCTAACAATACTCAAATTGACATCGCTCAATATCGGGCATCATTGTTATTTCTTAATAATTAACAAGATTATACTAACATAATACCACCCAAGAGTAAGTACATGTAGACTGAATCAAAATTGTTGAAACGTTTTCATGGGCAGCAAATCTATTCAACAAACCTATTTTCGATCACTCGCAACTCGGGCGCCATATGTCATTGTTTCACTATGACCACCAGAAAACATACATCCTCGTATCAGCTCGTATTTCGCACTTGGCTGCCTAACTTAGACCTTTGCTCAAAATATACTTGTATGGCCAGTCCATGAAATACCACCTTTTCTTTCATTTATTCATTTGATTTATAAATACGACTTTAGAAGTGTATTTACACCTAGCCAGGTATGTACATGTACATTTAAGGACATACGTGATAGTTTATTTCCACTAGTTTCCCATTCCATCCCATTCTACTAAAGGAAACGTTTGAAATAGATAATGATCATAGGTCAATGAAGTAATGGAATTATTTGTCATAAAAGGAAAAATATATTCTTTGTATTGAACTTCGAAACTTTCCTTTTTTTCTTAATTTTGGCCTTGCTAAACTACAGCTTGGAGGGAAGATATACAAATTAAAATGGTGAAAATAAAACCACAAGAATGCATTGATTTTGCTCTTAGACAAATATTTATTTAAAAAAAAAATCTATTTCATACTTAGGATACAAAACTAAGTAGAATCTAATTACTACTATGTCACTGGTCGAAGTATTTGGTAATTTAGATAATGCAGAGTGAAAAAAGACATAAATATAACTATATAAAACATCAAACCGAAATCACATTTACACTGAAAACTTTTTGTCTTTCAGAAATTGATTATCTATATATTGTGAGTAGATCTAATTACTTTTACTGTTCATGTTATAAATTGAACCAATTGAGATTCCAACAGATGAAGCTAAAATATTAAAGATCTAGGTTGTTTAATATTGGATCCATTTTGACAGCTTTCTCAACTAAATGCACATTTTTTTTTGGAATATCAAGCTTTCAAACAGATATATGAAAAGCACATGTCAACATACCAAAATTAGAAAACTGCGCCAAATATTCTAACACTGTTAGTCAAATGATAAGCGGTCTCATTCACTCGTCAGTCGCCGTAGACATTTTCCAATTGTGATGTACTAGATATGCTTTCTAGTTCAGTCAAAGAGAATATTGTTATTTGGAAAATGAAACAACGTGTATCCATTATACTACCACAACATTATATCAGCTGTTTCATGTGACGTCATCCATGTCACAACACGCGAGGTCAAATCATGCGCACCTGTCCAGACGACAAATTCACAGCGGCGGGAAATCACCGACCGTCTATTAGCCTATTTGAATAAAATTGCAGATTGTAACGAAATAAAATTAATATTACTCATTGCTGACATTTCAGATGACATATCAAATAAGAGTTGAAGACTTGCAATAGATTATCATACATTAATCGAGAATGCAGTGTACATAAATAATTTGTAAATCTAATATTAATTTTTGATCTATTATCCATGGCAGAATTTTTGACAACGAGCTATAATATATTCCATTTTCTGAAGAGATTAGTAATGTGTATTTGCTGATATATATGCATACACAATTGGTTATCAATTATCTTCTACAATCACAGCATGTACCATGTACATTAGACTCATGGAAAATACTATTTCAGCAAACCAATCACAGCGCCATTATCACAGTTTCAATGAAAGGAAAAACAAATCGAAATCGAACTTAACAGCACAGCGTATCCATAAGCAGTTAATCCAAATACAAAAAGGTATTGATGTCATCATTGTAGAAGTTATGTTGATGTTTTCAGTAGTTGCATTATTTTGTATCGCGTGTACCATCGACAGAAATGGGGGCCGAGCTACCACATGTGGAACCGACCTTGACACAATTTGTTTACAATATGGCGTCGACTCACGTTAGATGTCGTGGCCACACTTTTTAAATCTCCATTTGCGACAAAATGTGAAACAGTTAGGGCAAGTCACTCACACGGTCAGGTAGTTTGAGCAATCACACATGACTCTTAGTCATTTCATATGAAAATAGTAGCAATTATTTGTCTAAACGGGCGAGCATGTAGGACAACCGGTAGACAATTAATCGCGGCACAGATATGATGTGAACGTGCCCTGTCGATCACTTCGGGCTTGGCCATTCAATGTTTAGGTTTTGATCATGAACCTCCTGCCCATAAATATACACTATACCAACTTAATATTAACGATTATAGCTATCTTTCCATATCTTTGATTTGAATATTTTCTGTAAATCAGCATCACAAACAAAAAGACAATCTGCACTGTCGGTTGGTATGTAGCGCTGTGCTAAATCGCCATGAGACACAGTCGATAAACATATGCAATACTTGAACAAAAAACTTCCGTGGCCGACTAAACGTTAGTACTCTTGGGCCAATAACTGTACAGTGGGGACTAGTAAATCTTTCTGACCAGTCCGATCAGATTTCTTTTTCAAATTGGCTGTCTGATATAATAATAGTTTCGTGTATGTGACATGGGTGCATAATAAAAAATTGCCTTCATTCGCATGAAGTTCGACATGGCAGAAAAAGATCGAGAAGCGCGGTAACCACATTACTAATCTCGCCATATTTCGCAATCCGTAGCACTGCATAAAATATCAGTTACACGATATTAACGTTGAGATGATTAGTGTGATGATGGTTATAAATTCATTCAATGAACGTCATAAATGTAATGGAAAAATACACTGTCGTTTTCTCATGTGTACCGACCATTCCGCCATTACCGATAGTCGATAAAAATATACAAAACGTGTAAATAAACTTGTTCATAAAGGAGTGAACAGAATTGTATTTACGTGAATAAGTATACAGTTGGGAATAATATGTCTTTCTGACCACTCAGGTCATATTTTTTCTTATGAACAAGGATTTTGTCTGAAAATATTTACGTGTTTGTGACATGGGTGCATGATCAAAATTCGCCGTCATTCGGTTGGTGTTCAAACATGGCTGAAAACGTCCTAAAAGAGCGGTAGCCACTTTACTAATCTCGCCATATTTCGCAATCCGTAGCATTGTATAAAGTATGAGTTACACGATGTTAAAGCTAAGATGATTGGGGTGATGATGGTTATAGTTTTGACTTTGCGCACTCAGTGTTAAATATAAAAATTCACAGTTTAGAAAGGGCATATATGGTCCTATGCGGGTGTGAAAAGTGAGGGACCATATATGGCCCCATGGCACCAAGAGGGTTAATATAGTCTGAATGGATTCCAGTTGTTCAACTGTCTGAATAGAATTTGGTAGTTTAATTGTCTCTTCAACTCTAGTTGTTCAATATTGTCTGAATGGAATCCAGTTCTCGACATAAATCATGAGGTTAAAATATCCCATATGGATTCCAGTTGTTCAACTGTCTGAATAAAATCCAGTGGTTAAATTATCTCTTGAATTCTGATGGTTCAATATTGTCTGAATGGAATGAAGTGATTCAATTGTCTGAACAGAACCCAATAGTTCAATCATCTGAATGGAATCCACTACTGGGTTCAATCCTGTAGTCAAATTATCTGCATTGATTCCAATGGTTCAATTGTCTGAATGAAATTGTTCAATTACTTGAATGGTCAATAAAAGTCAAGAAAAACCCATGGGAAACAAAATCAACTGAATATTTTTTTCACAAAGAACAAATTGAGGTCACTTACTGAGAAGTCAAACTTGCCCTGGTTTAGCACAGCCAGACGGAGTATGTCATCAGGGGTGAGACGTAAAGACCCAAGGCTTGAAGACGCTCTGGGGAGTAAATACTTCCTTATTAGCTGAGTTGATCAGAGTTCATTGAATGTTACAACACAATAATTATACTTATTTACTGATAACAATGATAGAGTATGTTGTCACTGGGTCATATTTGTCTGATTCTTCAAGAAAGTTTTACTTTGCCATTGGGAGGGTGATGTTGACGCTGGTGTCCAGAGTTGACTGCCTCTTCCTCCGTCCAGTTGTTACTCCACTCTGAATGTTGATGACGGCATCAGAGCAGTCGGTTTTATCGCATAGTCCATTACTCCACTCAGCATTGAGTGTTCTCAGGGCACTGAGTATCTCAGTCCTCATGCTGGTTTCAATGCCAGAAGGGTTGGTGGAGATTACAGTGTAGAACAGCTGTACTATCACTTGATATAGATTGTTGTTAACAATTACTGGAAAACAATAAATTTAATTATTTTTAAAACCCACATAAAGCAGTATATAAGCATGATGGATTTATTCAAATTAAAAATGTGCATACCAACCCAATTCCATGCCAACCAAGATACATAAACGTTTCACCACATCATCCTGATTATTAAGTTGTCTAAGTTGATGATGATAAATCAGTTTTCATATTTTCATAATATTATCATGTGCTCTTAAAACTATAAAAGGCTTTTAAAAATGCTGAAAGGCTGATCCATTACTTAGTATTAACTTATAAGATACAAATATGGAACAAAAGGATAATTTTCATATTTATAAAAATACTCTCAACTGCATGTATATGAGATAGTGGTGCACCATATTATATTTACTGAGTTAATTAATGAGAGAAGTGCAAAGTGATCACCTCCACATGGTGGTAGTCGGAATGAGTTGTACTTCATTGGTGGGTTGTAACTTCCAATCCTGGGACACGTGTAGAGTTTCGGGACTGGGTGTACAATGGAATAGCCAGAATCACAATTGATACTAGTTGTAATCAGAGGGTCACTGATAACACTCCTTTGTGCATTTCCACGGATAGGATTCTGTAGCGGTGTGCAGCTGGAATCTAGGTAAAAATAGATAATTTAGTTGATGTGTCATGACGACAAAATATTTTTCAGATAAACATGAAGATGCAATGTAGGTGTTAGTCTGCCATAACATGTGAAAATCTTAATACATCTGATAATGACAAGTCTACCTTCGTCTCCTTCCATTGTGACCAGCCAATACAGTAAACTAAGTTTATGATGAACACACTTATAACAAACTGACAGTTTTTATTTATTCCTGGCCATTTGCTGTATGTATGCTGTATGTACAGTATAATTAATTACGGTTATAACGAACTAACATGTATTAGTGGTCCATTTTAATTGTAGTTTACTGTATATATTGTTAAGACATAATGGAACACATAGAAAGGGCAGCATGATATCCTGTATGATTTACAACATCAGCCTGGTTTTGCACTTACATTGGATGAAGATCTTGAAGCTGCAGAGTCCCTTGTTTCCTGCTGAGTTGCTGGCAAGATATACGACCTGATAGCGGCCCCACAGAAACACATCCCCTGGAAGTACATGTGTTCAACGCTACAAGGTGTGAGCACGAACAATCTTGTTCACATTACAAAATCTGGTCTTCTACTAGTAGAGTAGTTTGATATTTTCATCAAGTTACGTGTCATTGAATAAATTTAGCTCTCAAGAGTTTTTGAAGTTTTTATGACCTAAGCAATAAAGAATTGATATATATCAAAACAACAGGTACTTGTTAACAAAACTAACTGAAATATATTGATTGTATTACTTGACTTGTGAGTGGAAATGATGGTTGAATCTTTCCCCTCAAATACAGGATCATCCCAGGTCACTTCAGTGATGCGAGTTGTTCCCAATTGGACTATGTCGCCAGGACACTTTGTGGGGGACACAAGGAGCTTTTCTGAAATTATCATGCAACAATGAAATAAGGTGTCATAAAACCTATCAAGCTGGATATACCTTATCCAAGGTGAAGATCAGTGTGATCCAAACAGTAAAGCATTCAGTTTGTCAGAGTCTTTGTTTGATTTATGTGTTTAGGGAACAAACCTTTTCATGTCACCATATTCTGTTATGGATGATAAGATCCAATAAAGGTAATGCTGGTATGAATTGGGGTAAGACATATGGCATGAAATGAGGGCATTGAAACAATGTATAGATGCAACCACACACCAATTTTTATGATCCAGAGACTGATACTGGTTAATGATATCTTGTACGGTGTAAAAATCATACATGTGAAAATGTTCAAATCGCTGATGTATTTTCAGTGATGCTAAATTTGAGTCAAGCTGATGGCACTGAAACAATTTCAAAATCATAAGAGATGCTATACCTGTAATCCCATATTGTACAACACATTTTCTATAATAACAATTTATTTAAAGCTCCATTAACTGAACTATAAAATACCAGTGCCATTCTGTCAACAAAAGTAATTTCTCCTGAGGTCACAAATTAATTTCCTTAAATTTCTAAATTCCATATCCAAGTTGACCTTGTTTTCAAAGTGTTTGTTTTGGGGAACAAGAGAACTAGAAAACAAATAAAATAGTCTAATTTTCATCATTGTTTTCTAGTTACATGTATTTCAATTCTTCTATTAGGGTCAACTAGGAAAGGTGTCTGGAACTGTCTTATTGCCCTTCTCTCTTCAAGGTAAATTTGGATATAAACTTTAAAATGACAACTAGAGACGAATTATTGAAACAAACTAGAAAACAAAGTATATTTTGATAAGTGTAATATTGATGCCACCATCATGCATATTACAAGATGACTTCTACTTACTCTCATCTGCCACTTCACAGTTCCCTCCTGAGTACCCCCTGGGGCAGGATGTGGACGAAGCAGTTGACGGGATGACAAGAGACACACCCTGGGATCTGCGGAACTCATTCCATGCAAAGATTTCATCAGTGAAGACCTGTTGTGGGTTCTCAAGCTTCAGAGGTATTTCTGATGTAAATGTGAGATCTCTGTTGTAGAGTGACACCTGACTCAACCAGCCATTGAAACCTTCATTCAGCACAGGCATCTCTGTCACAGGGTCATACTTGCTCCCAAGAACCATCCATACACTGGAGACAAAAAAGGAGTCAGTTGAGGTTTTACTGCACTTTTAGCCATATTCAAGCTATATCATAGTGGGGACACAAATCATGGGCTTTACACATTGTATCAGTGATGGGAAATGAACAAGGGTCCAAAAGGTGAAGAGAAATATAGATCAACATATGTCTTCTTGTTCCCAGAAAAGGGTGACCATTTCTAAGACCTGTTTCAATGTCAAGATCATTTAGAAAAATAATACAACTTACCCATGAGGAAGGATTACAACACAAATTAATTTATCACATTCAACTAATGGTCCTCTAAGATCCTAATTTTTACATATAGTCCTATGACAACATAGAAAACAAATAATTCTAATAATGAATATATATATATCTATATATATATCTATATATATAGATATATATATATTGCAGTTTGACAAAAATTACCTTAGAATATATCAGAAGAAAATTCAAGGGATTAATGATGTACTACAAAGCTGAATAGATCAATGTATCACTCACTATTTATCAATCATCATGCCCTTCGCATAGTTTTGAACATCCTCGGCAATAGTGTTGACTACAAAGTTGAGGAGTCCAGTCTCGCCATTCCATGTAACTGCAATCTGGTTCCATTTACCATCGTTATACTTGAAGTATGGCAGTTTAACACTGCTAGTGGTACCATTCACGGAAATGGTCAGTCCGGAATGGTCAATGCGTATCAGTTCCTTCTTGCCAGCCAGGCTGTTGGGACCACTAAAGGTGAAAACAGGTTTCAAGGTCATTTGATTGGAGCTTCGGACAAATAAGACATCTCCTAGTTGGGGGCACACAGAATGATGTTTAACTTTTAAATTATAACACTGGATAAGAAACTTTATATAGATTTTTACAACAAATGATCATACCGTATATCGCCGTCTATAAAGTGACCCCACGTATAAGGCGACCGACCCCCTTGTACCTGCCTTCAAATTCAATGCTTATTCATATGGAATCTACCCAATCTCTAAAAGCGAGTCATGTTGAAGTACATCACCATCGCATGCACAATCCCTATGTTTGCAATAAAAACGTGCTTGTCTTCCGCAGAAAAAACTTAAACTTGGTCAATACAAATTGGAAATGTGAGATAAAACATCAATAGACAGGATGATTTACTGATTAAATTGTATTTCTTGTTCTGCTAGACATTGTGTTATATGCAGAGATTAAGAATACTGTTTGTTTTGTCGCGTAAACTAAGTCGGAAGTAACAAATCAGCTGTGCACATGTTTCTTGATATCTATCAGTGATTTGTTTAAAAATTACCCAATAATATAACTTTAAAGAATTCTTATACAATGATCGGGAGAATTGTTTCTAAAACTCTTTATTTTATCAGGAATAATTTAGTCAAATATCATGTTATTTTTTATAACCAGACATTGTAATTACATGATTAATTTGCGTACTTCAGTATGGATTTGTATTTCCAGCGTTACATGCTCACAAAAATGTCTTTGTGTTTTGGGAAAAAACATCGAAACTTTTCAACCCTGTGTATAAGATGATACCCCTTGAAAGACCCCTATTTCTTGGTATGCAAACTCGCCTTATGCACAGCCATATATGGTATACACCAAGTTAGGAAACAAACTGAAATAAAACAAGCAAATATACTGACTCGACTGAATACAGAGTGAAGAATGTCCCGGTTCCATCTTTCTCCCAGAATTTGACCCACAGACTGACACTGAGCTTGTTAGCTGTGAGTTGGATCGGGTAGGGGAGGTAAGCATGGCTTGTCTTCTGTGGCAGTTTAAACAGCATGTCATAGTTGCGATCCAGATCTGTGGAAAAAAATCCATCCATATTGATATGTTTATACCAATTATGTTTACAGAGATTTGATATAGGGAAATATAACAAATACCTTGATGTGTTACAATTTTTTAAACCAGGGGGCATTACCACTGCTAATGGTTTGCCAGTAACATGACGTCAATAATAACGCACACCAACTTAAAGCAATAATAATTATTAACTGGTTTACAGATTCACTGTCTCTAAAAAAAATACAAAAGGACAACCAATGAATCTGACCAAGTCAAACTAAAGGGTCACCACAAAAGAATTGAGCATACATTATGTTCAACTGCATTGCAAGACTGATGAGACTTCTCACAGGACATATGGACACATATTTAGGTCATTTTTATTAAACATTTTGACCCCACTACCTACAAAATCTGTAGACTAAGAAATAAAAACGGCAAGCCTAAGTTGATTCAGAAGGCTTGGAAGTAAGTTTTCTTCAAAAGGATTTCCTCAAAGACAATTGTGTTACATTATTCATCTTATCCAGAATTACTGTTACTGCTTCATCTAAAGAAATAACTAGAACACAACAAGAACAGTTGATTATATAGTTTCTACATAAATGATAAAAAGTAGCTTTGCAAAATACTGACACACCAACAACCCATATCATATGACAGTAGAGAAAAGGTAGGAAAACAAGTTTGTTTTCTATGTACCTTGACTACAGTCTATTCCACTTTTGCCAACGGGGCAACGACAGAAATATTGGTCCACTCCATCAATGCATCTTGATGTTCCTGGGCACGACACTCCAGCACAGTTGTTGATGTTGGTGTCACAGTTTGTCCCAGTGAAACCTGTAAACATCAACACATCAATGTAAATGGTCCATCCCAGCAACCCAGATGAGAAGTACATGTTTACTGATAAATTGTTTCTGGCTAGAAAGTAAATATATTGAAGCACTTCCAAAGGATATAAATGACACATCAAAACAATGTCACAACTACCAATCGCAATACCAATCGGCCGACCAAAGCACTCCATGTGACATCAATTTCTTTACTGATTGGAATACAACTATTTCAAATGTGTATTTGTGCCCATCCAGTAGGCATGAGAATTAACACGATGAATGACAGTAACATGTGATATAAGCACTAATGACAGTAGTGTATCGGGGCCAATCCATATCATATATGCACTATTAAAAATGACAGTTGTGCATTGGTACCCATCCATGTGATATAATTGGTACCAAATACTACCCATCCTGGTCCATGAGATATGAGGCTTTTACTAGAATGACATTAGTGTATTGTTACCCACCCTTGGGGCAAGAGCAATTGTAGTTATTGAGTGAGGGAGCACTGCACTCAGCCTTGTTCTTGCATGTATCCGCCTTACAGTGGTGCACCTGCACTTCACAGCCCTTGCCCGTGTAGTCTGAAAATAGATTAGTTTAGCATAAATATATTTTTATAGGTCCATAGATCAACCCTGTTTTCAGATCTTTCCCATATGAAATAACTGAGGCCTAATCATACACCAAAATCTCATCGTGACAGTTTTTCTGATGACCATGTTGTCACAAACAATTAAGTAATACGTAGTGGCAAAAGGAACATAAAAATAGGTTCACATCTATCAAAACTTGTTGAAGGTTCTGTAGCTCACTTGAAGACCATGTGAAATAATATTATTTATACATTAAACTACAGTTACAGTTAAACGAACTCAAAGGGACCACTAATTTTAGTTTGTAATAACCATAGTTCGTTTTAAGAATATATACAGCAAATGGCCTGGACTAAGAAATAAGTTTGTTATATTGGTCAGTTCGTCATAAACGTGTGCGTTATAAACGTACCGTAGTTAAAAAACTGAGTTAACTGTATTTAAAGAATTAACATAATTTTTCATGAGAAGCATGAGTAATATCCATCTATACTTACCCTGTCCACAGGCACAGGTGGTGACCCCGGCCGATTCGGAGCACATTCCATTGACACATGGGTTGGCATTACTGCATATGCTGGGAGCAAACTGACATTTCTGACCATAGGTGTTGGCCTTGCATCTGGAAGGGATAACAATGTGATAAACATCCACATGAAAAACAATTCTGGCCACAGAAAAACCTTTTTAATCACTTGGTTTACAGATACTTCAGTGGTGAAAATAAAAATAAGAACATAATTTTAAAGACTTCTGAACTATTGTAATTCTTATCCCAGAACACATGCCACAGGGTTGGCCCTGACCCATGACACAAATCCATTAAAATACATATTCAGCAATTTTGAATGTAACCTATAAAAAAAAAAACAGTCGACAGACACAATTGTGAGACATATCTTAAATGCCCTCAGTGATATGATATTGACCAGTTATACAATTACCTATTTTTAATACACACAACATATTTTCCTGATCAGTTGGACTAAGTGATCAGAAATTGGAGTTTGGCATAAACCGGCCAGTATGGAGTTTGACACATGATAAGAATATCTCCAGCCCATATGTTTTACTTTTATCAAGAGACAAAAGTTTCACAAATGACATGAACTAGTGCATGATGTACCTGCAGAAGTAGTTGGAGAAGATGTCAAAGCAGTTTGCATTGTTTATACAAGGGGAGGAGCTGCAGGGGGTAACGAGACTCTCGCAACGTTTTCCTGTCCACCCGTCCTTACATCCGCAAGTGAAGTCGTTGATGCCATCAGTGCAGACGCCATTGTGGAGACAGGGGCTGCTGGCACACTCATCAATGTTGTTCTGAGAACATGTTATTATTGGAAGATTATATAAGTTCAGGATTTGAAATTATTACATTTTATGTCAAGAAAAATATTGCATACCTGTAAATGTGTTTCATTATTAATGAAATTTGTAATTTTTGTTTATTTGACTGCAGAAAAATATAATCTAGGTAAAATATCCTTAATTAACAAGAGAGAGAAATGGAAGTACATACACTGCAGACGGGGTTGTCATATCCTGGCTTGCAGTGACAAAATGGACCGGTGAGGATGCTTGTACACTGAGAGCTGCCGGTACTGTTACAGGGATTTGGGTTACAGAAGTTGATAGTTCCAGCACAAGTAGACCCTGGGTTAGAGAAGGGAAATATAACATCATTGAAGAAAACAGGTAGATACTATGTTACAGAAAGGATATAATATATATTATAGCATGGTTGTATCAACACAAGTAGATCCTGGGTTACTCTGGCAAATATAGCATGGTTGTCACCACATAGTTACATAACAATAGTTGTTATATAGTTGTATAACATTGATACAACATTCTCCTACACATTACCTTCATATCCCATGGCGCATTTGCAGGTGAAGGTGTTAACGCCATCTGTGCAGGTACCGCCATTCAAGCAGGGTTGGTTGGCACAGTTGTCCAGGTTTTTCTGGCAGAGAGAACCTCCATAACCAGGGGCACAGTCACACACGAAGGTCAGCCCAACCTCACGACAGCTGGCACCGTTCATGCATGGGGAACTAGCACAGTATGGGGGAATGCTGCATGTTTTCTCCTTGAATACTGAAACGGGGAAGAATGATGTTGTGATCAGTCAAAGAAAAAGTCAATAAACAGTATTGTAATCAAGTGTTTCTTACAAGTGAATATCGGAATTGCAAAAACAATTACAGATAAACATACTGTGTTTATAATGTAGAGCTGGGTTACCTGTAGAATTAACTGCACTAAATTGAGTTTTGAACCGAAGCACACATCATATGATGTTTCAAATGTTACATTTAGTACGATTAAAGCTACAGGTATTCTAGCACTACATTGGAGACATGCTCATGGGTTTTGAGTAGTTTGAGAAAAACACTGATAATAGCGTTAAAAATAGTTTGGTATTGCATGTACTCAAACATGTTTTTATAAAAATCTTAATTCATACTTTAATACAGGCATTGAAAGTTTATAGGACAGCTACTTCACAAGCCAACATGACGAGAGCACACCAAAACAAAATTATGCAACCTTCGCAAGGTTTAGTTCTAGACCGCACATCACTCTGAGAACATCACACAGTTCATTGTGATGCAGAAAATATGATTTTCAAGTTCTCTGTGGTCCTGTTTCATGCCCAAAATGTATCGCCAAACATCATTTGAATATTGTTGTAACCGCAAATCTGCATATCATAACTTTGTAAATATAACTTTTTTAAAAATGCATACCGACAATGAGAAAAAAGTAATTTTCTATAAATATTAACTTCTTTTGCACTGTGATCAAATAGGGTGTTTAATCAGAGGGGGTTTACTGTGATTTTATTACCATCAGTAGCAAATCACATTCCAGTAATTTTAAAATTCATTGCAGAATAGAGGTTTAGTGCTTTGAAGGATGAATCAATTCTCTTCTAGCGAGATTATTTTGAGGATATGCAGTTAATTCAAGGCATTATTTCCATTTTCACCATACCTCTTTCAAGAAAACTTACAATATATATAGTTATAAATATCGAATCAGAATTCCACAAAGGGTAATTTCTTACCAATTCCACCAGAAGCAACGTCTTACCTCGACTTACTCCACATTTGAAACGAATTTCATGCTGGTTACAGGTGGTTCCAGCTGTTTGTAGGCTATTGACACACTTGAAGCCTTGGTCAAGTATACACTGACTTCCGACATTGGTTGAGATCTTCTTGGTGGTGGCGTCCCGACATTGTATATCTATAGGGAAGCTACCTCCACAGATGTCCAGCTGCAGCTAAATAAGGGAGAAAGTCAAAATGTGTGAAAAATGATTGGGCAATTTGGTCAAACTGACTGTTATGGAGATACACTGATGGCACACATCATAAACCAAACTGCTGGAGGATCAACCATTGTTGTATTGGCTAAACTTACATGCAACCCATTTGTTATTGTTTAGAAATGATTTGAATCAAAGGATCATTTCATTAAAAGGGAAAACAATAATTCAGTGTAATAACTAAATGTAAACATTTACTTTTTGGTGCATTGTTAAACCATGGATTGAAAGATTGTCTTATCACAAACTATGTTCTTATACAGCATGATGTTGTCACAGCTGTCATCATAATGCACACACAGTGTTTATATTATTACTGGGATGTCATCAATGTATGCACTTTATATAATATCATATTGTGTGATATGTAACTATAGTGCACTTACAGTGTTTCCCATATACTGTGATATTTTAACGATAATTCACATGGCGTTTCTCCAATCCTAAGACTACTTAGAGTCTTTCTGTACATAGTTCCTTGTACTTTCAGTGTTTCTCATGTCACTGAGTAAGATATCGTTCCCTGTACTTACAGTGTTTCTCATATCTCTGAGTAGGACGAAGTTCCATGTACTTACAGTGTTTCTCATGTCACTGAGTTAGGCGTAGTTTCTTGTACTTACAGTGTTTCTCATATCACTAAGACGAAGTTCCCTGTACTTACAGTGTTTCTCATATCACTGAGTAAGGCGTAGTTCCATGTACTTACAGTGTTTCTCACATCACTGAGTAAGATATTGTTCCCTGTACTTACAGTGTTTCTCATATCTCTGAGTAGGACGAAGTTCCCTGTACTTACAGTGTTTCTCACATCACTGAGTAAGATATTGTTCCCTGTACTTACAGTGTTTCTCATGTCGCTGAGTAAGACGTAGTTCCCTGATGTGCGGTTGTCTGGGGTGTTGTACCACTCAGTGTAGAAATCATCTGCAGCAATAGGGAAAATGCTCCTATAGAATTTGTACATATCCTAATAATTATACTATCAATTTTGATAGGAATTGAATATTTTGAAAAGCATAACTAAGTTAGGATTGATGAAGCTTATTACAAATACCTCCAATGAAGACCATCCAAACTGGTTTTCTTCATCAAGATGAAAATGTCAAATGATGTATACAGTGATCTACACTAACACTTGTAAGAGTCTAGTATATTTTGTTAAGGACTGGTAAAATGAAATAAATGGTGGTCCGGTGGTCTAAATTCTAAGCACCATTGTCTAGTAGAGATCCAACAGGACCAGTAGATTTTGTTTTGGTGCTGGTCCTTTGGACCACTGACAAATTTCGGTCAGTGTCAAGCATTGTGTATATCTGTACCTTCTTTCATATATTTTCCCCCTTTTCTCAATGCAGGGCTGAACCCAGGTAATCAATGCCAATCATATGAGCTGACTAAACAGACATTGGTTGGCAACATCACAATGCGAGACCTGACCAAGCAGACTTGGCTCATTGTTCAGGTCTGGTTTGTATGGTCTGGACAAGATAACTTACATGCCAGAGTGATATTGCTAAATATTTGCTACAGAAAACATCAATTATTCCCTCAAATGCCTACCTTTGATATAGCTGCACTTCTTGACGTAGTAAGAAGCCCCTTGCTCAGGAACAAGAGGAAGAAGGTTGCCAGCTCTTGTGGAATGAAGCATGCACCTCTGATCAGCTCTGAAGTAGGAGAATGCCCGACAAGAAGATCCTTGACTGTTGCAGGTGTCCCTGCAGTCCATCAATGTCTTCCCTGTTTCATTCCTTGAGAATGTTGGTGTCTCTAACTTTTTGTTCAATGAAAGACTGTACTCACAGTATTCTCCTAAAAAGAAATAAAGTTACAAAACGTTGTACATTTTTCAATAAGTAAATAGTTAAATGAAACACATGTTTGAATATCAATAAAGAACAGACACATAAACACACATTACATGAGTAAAATCACTGTGCCCAGAATTTTCATATATGATGAAGAAGATGTGTAACCATAGGGTCACAATTGAAAAAAACGTATGAGTTAGGCAACACCCAACCCCCAAAATGGCACTGACTGAAAAAACTACCGTATTTTGACACCATTATTTATTTTATACCCTGTATTATTGTATCTTGTCGCCTTGGTTTCTTTCATAATGGTATTAGAACTGTTTATTAAATGTGAGATATTGTAGAAGAATATTGTCAATATTGGATCACATAATTCTGCAATGCAATGTCCATCATGATGACACAACATAAGTCCTGTCAGCATGGGCCCTCGACTAAAGACAATAATTAGCCTAGAACTTTAACAAATGAACTGACATATTCCAAGATCTACCTTGTTTCTAAGGTTCAGAAGAGTTCATCCCTTGCATGCAACCATTGTCTAACCAAACACTATCTAACCAATAACATGTGCATATAAGTACGATAGCAAATACCATACAGCCAACTGATGCCAGAAATGCATGTCTTGTCATCATTGAATAAGAAGTTGTTTTCACAAACTTACTGGTTTTGATACTTAATACAGGCATTATCATTCTTGCTAGTGATGAGCTTTGCTAGATAACCACATATCCAATGCTGTGAGGCAGTAATTCTTACCATAAGAAGCTTCTGGATTGCAGATACATCGGTATGTGTTCTCCACATGGTCCTCTATACACTGGCCACGATTTCCGCATGTAACACCAGCACATTTGTTTCGTCGTGTTTCACACCGGGGACCAACAAACCCAAGGGGGCATTGACATGTGTAGTTGTTCACTTCATCAATGCACGTCCCACCATATAAACAGGGGTTGTCTTTGCAGTCATCTGTAGGCATTGGGTAAGCAATGTTCATAGTGTTACATCCAATTGAACATATAACAAATGCAACAAATGTTGTATTTGGAATTCAGCTTTCTTTGTGCTTGTGATTAGGTGCCTCACTCTGAGAGTGTGGGGTCAAGTGCCAGATGGGATTTAACTAAAAAATGTACTAGAATTTGAACTTTACTAACTAAGTGTAATCCAATATTTGCTAAATAAGAATAATAACTAAGGCAATACAAAAAGGCATTTTCAATCAAACATAGCATTTAAAAATGTTATCAATTATACACTAAGGTGGGTTCACCTATAAACAAAGAAATAAATATACGGGTAGGTCCTGCCTAAATATCAAAAGTAAACATGTATAAATACAAATCATACTAGATCAAATGGAGATAGTTCAATCCCAGTTTTGTCATGCATCTTGCTGTTACATTAACATCGTATCTAATATACAACTACCACTTGAAACGGGATACTATAACCTTTTTCAAATTAATAAATCAGGAGGAGTATTGCTGTTTTTAGACACTGATACATACCAATGTTAGTCTCGCAATTTTTCCCAGTAAAGCCAGCTACACAAGTGCACTCTCTACGGTATGAGCCGATGGGATTACACACACCATTACCACATGGCAGGGAATCACATATAGGTTGAGGGCTGGTGCATCTGGAATAGACAAGTTGAAAATCTTAGAAAACGACAAACATGAATATTTCAGCAAGGTTTTCAATTAAATTGAATAATTTCTTTCTCTCTATTTTCAGATCTGCTTTCAGTGATGAGGATGTTAACTTTGTGGCATATTTGTCTGAGGCAAGAAACTATTCATTCACCAAATGAAATTCTAGGACAATAGTGAGTGAGTGAGTGAGTTGGGTTTAACGCCGCTTTCAACAGTATTAGTTATATTGCGACGTGTCAGCTTAATGTGGGAGGAAAGCCCGAAGTGATGCAGGTCTCAGACGTTTACCACTTCAGTGAAGCCCAAGAGCACGAGTATGGTGCGGACAAACCTAGAAACAAAATCGGGGCGAACCGGGATTTGAAACCACAATCATAGATTTGTGGCGTGACTAAGGGACGCAAATCTGCACAGTGAATCGCAGCGCCTTAGGTGACTGGGCCACCCGTGCCCCCCTCTAGGACAATAAGCCAAATCAGTATTATGATACAATGAATGGAAAATAAATAAACTATCCTACAACTAAAAGAGAGAATCTTTGGTTAGGTAAGAAATATATGAAACAAAGAAAGCTGATGTTATCTTAGAGAGCCAAAAACACATTTACACAGAGAACACCAGCTTGGAAAAACATAACTGTATTGATTTCAAATTGATCTTCATTAAAAAATGTATATATTTCTTTCAAAAGTATTCAAGATAAACATGTGAAAACATATTTCCCTATTTTTCTTTAAGTTTTAGGTGCTGTTTTTATACCTCCTCCGTCACCCCAACAAAAAGGTTGGTCATACTATATTTGCTAAATAACATATGTGTCTCCCATTTCAACCAAAGAAAGGTTTGAGCAATTCAGACATGACATGATTGGAACCACTTTGTTAGTCATGGGTTGCGAACAGAAACGATAAGTCTTGGAGATAAACATTTAACAACAGGATATTAATACCTTGAGGATTTTAGGCAAACATTAAAATGTTCCATCATGAATTATTTGAAATCATTTGATAAACTATTTACTCTAATGGTTTCTAGTGTGCGGAAAATCATACACACAGACACAGTATTCGATCATAGAAGACATAAATAAATAAACATTAAGAATCCTAACAAGGCAAAAATAACAGATTTGATACATCCACAAGAGAAACCTTCCACACTACCAATGCAAATATAATGAGTAAAAGCTTTTTTAAGAATAAATTGAAAATAAGCATGCGTTACAATGCACAAACAGCAAATCATGCATCTTTTTGGATGTTTGCACATCATGCATGTAAATAAGCCTTTTCTTCTCACATACCTCATGCAAATTATATTTACAATTTTTATTATTTTAAATTCCCAATTACATATTTTTTAAATGTTAATTGGTTTCTTTGAAATGTATCATGCAGAGATAAAAACCATCAACAAAACATATAATAACTGGCATGACATAAAGGTAACAAAAACAAGATTTAGTCAGTTAATTAAAAGGCACTCTGAGAAGGAAAGAAACCTGCATCCCGGTAACACAAGAAATTCTGGGAACTCACAACCTAGGAAAACAGATGGGAAACCATCATATAGACAATTCATATTACTTTACATGTGATATGACTGACACAGACAGACAGATAATCTCTCCCTATACCATACAACTTTACCTTGGCAAACCCCTAAAACTGTAAAACAATGCAGTTATATTAGCTAATGACTGTATGAAAATCCATTTGTATAGTAAAGTGTCATTTATTGAGACTAACTTTCTTACATTATGGACTGAAGAATGTCTTAGAAATTATCACTATTAGGATTTAAAGGTTGGTTGTATGTAATGATATGATGTAATCATTGTCATTCCTCAAGTGTTTCATTATTTGGATTATCAGAAAGTGCTAATAGTACAAAATTCCATCCCAAAATAATTTCTTAACCATCTGTGACTGTTTTTGCAATAACAAGCAAAAATAGTACAATGCATGAGTTTTCTGTGTGATGGTATGAAATAGCAAATCTACTTCGTGTTTGGGTATAAACAGAATTCACATGTCAAAGACCTTACTTTCTAACTGTGCAGAAGGCATGGTTACAAAGACTTCAGTAAGACTGGGCTTAATTTGTTGGCTACAACTTGCATGTACTACAGAGATGTACTGCATGTTTATATGCATGAATGAAAAACAAGGTTTTGATGAATAGCTGGCATATCCTACTGTCACTACAGTGTGCAGCAATGACTGTTACACCAAAACTCCAGAGACTCCAATCAGTTTGATTTTCAGTAGAATGACCTGTGTCATGTTTATGCAAGCAAGTGATCAATTAATCATACATGTGCAATGTCTTAAAGTAGTCATGTTAGCTTCACATACATAACAAATGTACTAGAACAAAGATCAAAACAAAGAGAGCTTCCTTCCAAAACACAGTCAAATGTTTTCATGAAAGCAGTATATATTTTTGTGAGCAAATGAGTGCTTTAACCAACAATATACTGCATTCTTTACATAAGATCATTTCAAACATTCATTTCTCTATTATAAATGAGAAATCATATAACACCCTATCACACCCTACAGTATTACCATTTCTACGCTGTAAATCAGTAGTTACACTGTATGAGATAGAGGTATTTTTCACTACTTACATTGTTCCTGTGAATCCATCTTTGCAGAGACATTTGAAAGTGTTGATTTGGTCTTGACACATGCCTCCATTCTGACACAATGTGCTTGAAGTACAGTCATTAACATCAGTCTCACATCTCGGACCACTGGTGCCTAAACACACAAACAGTCCACTGAGCAACAGTCAAAAATTTTATCCTCTAAGACAACTGGAAATATTTAAACACAGAAATATTGTCTACAGGAGAACAGTTAAAGGGGCACTGATATACAGCAATGGTCGCTGGCTTTGTTACTGTTGTTTTCCCAGATGATATACCAGAAATCTCAACTAATTCACGACCCGTGCTGCTCCAACCGTAAGCACATTTGTCGCATTGATCAACAAAATGATATACAGTTTTGCCTTGGAAATAATAAGGAAATGTAGGTATCTTTTGGGAAGCATCGGTTATGCTGACAAAGTTTTGAGAAGTCACTTGCTCGGTCGTGTCCAATTTCCGTTTACACTATTTTGACTTGTAACACATCAATCAATGTATTATAGGTAAATCCTTTGAACAAAATGATTTGTTTTTACTTCACTCCCAGATATGGGTGTATCCTGTCTGCTTTAGTAAACCTTCACAAATAAACACTCACTTATGACAAATCCACTGTGCAAGATAACAGTGATTAATCAATCAATGTAATTTCGGTTAATCATCATCTTCCCGAGGCAGGGTATTAACTGACTGTAAAAGTCCAGTTCCCACCTTTGCCAAACTAGGCTGGAATTTCTGTGTTGTATTTTATAAGAAGCAAATTGAAGTGAAAGCTTGGGTGTTTTTCTTACGGATGAATTACAGAATACTAATTACCTGCTAGATTAGATTAGAAGACAGTGTTTATCAAAGTATGCATTGGTCATATGAAGCTAAACACTAAAAACTAGGCTGGAATTTCTGGGCTTGTTTGTAGCACCACCAGTGGCTATTGCAAGTTATGTCCCTTCTATGTCCCTCCTACCGGTACTGACCAATCAGATTCCACCTCTCATGTCATTTGCATTTGCTTCAAACAAACACTCAAGACGATCTGATCAATAATCAACCTCTATTTTGTCATACAAAGGGTCTTACTTCGCGAAGTGTATCCGATCATCTGAGCACATAGTTTAAAAACATGAACAGATTTGGAAGACATCTGTTGACGCCGAATTGGCGGTACACATGCTTTGCAAATCCTGCAATTGACTGAAATCTGCACGGCAGTTTACAAACCAGATGTCAATATCGGTTATGCGAATTTGCTTGGACTATGCATAGACTTGTTAGTTAGGCCAAAATATAGCTCCATAATTCCAGGCTAGTTCGGTAAGGGTGGAAACTGGACTTTTATAGTCAGTTAATTCCCTTGACTCAGGTTGATGGTTAATCCTTTGATGGATGTTTTCTTGCAACTCAACTGATCATCCCTCTCTTGCTGCGAGAAAATTGACTGATGGCAGCTAGTGATCCCTAGCGGGCAGTGTTAGACAGCCGGGAAGGAGCCAGCAATTAGTGCCCCTTTGGTACTGTCCTCTCAAATCACTAGTGCCTCAACACAGAAACATGTCTACAAGAGAACAGTCATCCTATTGTCCTCTCAGACCACTAGAGTGTAGTCTAAATATTTAGTAAATTGTAGTTTCCCTAACCACCAGTATGCAGTGGATTCTTTATCATAAAGAAGAAAGGGAATTCTGGAATGTGGAGCTGTTGCCTCAAACTGTCTTAGAGTCTTACCTGCTGGGCAGCTGCAGGAATATGTTGTCACATTGAGGATGTTGCACGCCCCGCCATTGTAACATGGACTAGAGGCACAAGGGTTGTCTCCAATCTCACACCGCTGTCCTGAATACCCTGCTCAACAGAAGGATTCTGTATAGAAGCTTGCATCATACACAAATATATATCTTGTACAGTCCATTGAAACTGAGTGTTTCCTATCTGGCATAAAACAAAATCCAATTTTCATAAACTGGGCTTTTCTTTCCCAGAATCAACTATTACATGAAAACTTCCTCACATACACCAAGCATGTGCCTTATAATGAAGGAACAGTATGTCGACGGTTCTGTGTGTTTTTAAATCATGGATGAAATAATTTCCAAGTGTGATGTCACATGACCGATGCAATTCTCAAACCAAAACAATAGAGCTCTTCACAATGAAGCCGACAATGCAAGTGCTGCACAGAATAAACTTGATTCAGTCTTGTATTTTATAAGAAGCAAATTGAAGTGAAAGCTTGTGTGTTTTTCTTACGGATGAATTACAGAATACTAATTACCAGCTTGATTAGATTAGAAGACAGTGTTTATCAAAGTATGCATCGGTCATATGAAGCTAAACACTCTCCTTTCCAGGAATCCCTGGGCCAGCAGACTGGACCTCACACTGTCACAACTTACACAGTGCATTCGTGTGTTTTCCATCGGTTTCATTTTGGACGTGTCTACACATTTAGATAAACACACGTCATGAAATGCCTAACTTTCATTGAGAAAATATCCGAAAATGTGAAAAACTATTTCCATTTGCTTATTTATCCTCCACGTCCTGTCGTCAAAAACCTACAGAAAGCTAGCAATACGTTCACTTTGATGTCTTAAGCTATATGGTGTCATGCACCCAACTGCCGCAGTTCTAGTAGTATATCTTTATAGTTATGCCAAACAATATGTAAAGCACACCGGTAGGCTGGCATTAGTGCTGTCTGTTCTTATTTTAGAATAAGAGTGTTTGTCTACAAACATGAGAAAAGTCTGGACTTGTGATAAGCCTACACCGACGGTGTGGTCACTGGAGCAGAAACGCAATAAGGCGCGCAGAGCCGAGTAAGCTCGGGGGTTATCAGCTAGTGTTTACAAACAAAAGCTTCACAACGGTTGACGTCAGGTCCCTTTAAACATAGAACTTAAGTTATCATAGGACCTTCCAGTCACAAATACAGAAATACACACAATCAACGATAGGTTGCAAGTTTTTAACAGAAATCTATCCCCTGCCATCTTGTACTATCTGTATCTGGCAATGTGTATTCAGCAGGGATGTCACAGGTATGTGTGTTTCTCGTATTGTATCGTATCATATCGTCAGGGAATATTATAGATGGACCGATGTATCGGTGGAACGTTACATTCCTGGTATTGAGGCATTCAAAGAAAAGGTCACATTTAGCATTCAATTTCACACATTAACATGAAACTAGTTATTACTTTTAACAACTAAAAAAGATATCTTTTAGATATAATGCTTCACCTTTGAATCAACCTACAACAGGCAAGTTCATCAAAGGCAATTGCCATCACAAGGACTGGCAGATGCATTCAATCTCACCTTCTGGACAAGAGCAGGAGGGACTGTGTCGGATAACACTACAAGATCCTCCATTCTGACAGTAGTTGGTGCACACAGGAGACAGAGCTGTATATGGGAGACAAACAGTTTGGGATGAATACCATTGTTTTGCAAAATATTATGATTACAGTGCATACATTTCTGCATATTGATACTGGAAACATGATTTACTGATACATACGTACTTCTGCTACTTGTATAGTTTGTAATAATATTGTATTCCCTGGGTTAATGCCTTGTTCTACATTCTAACCTTCAAATCATTTTCAGATAATGTGCTTTATAAAGTGACTTAAAGGTAACCAATTCAGAAGATCATATCGATTAATATAATACTGTACAAAATGTAATTAGCCAGTGCATAGATTTATTGTTACTTCCCCAGGTAAAAGTCTTGTTTATAAATACCTACCTCCGCTAGTGCAGTTCGACTGCGCTGTTGAGCCTGGCCCAGCTGTTACTTCATTGGTTGAGCATGCCTTGCAAGTCTTTTGTCCAACTTGGTCCTGGTAAAAGTTTATAGGACACGGTATGCATTCAGCATGACCATCAATAGCATTGTAGGTTCCTGCTCCACACTGGGCTAGAAAGAGGATAAAAATTGCATAAACAAACATTGACAAGCATGAGAGAAACTGGCATTTTTTTTTAATCCCTAATATATGGACCACATCGGATGTGGTGGCCCAGGTGACTGGATCATCCAGTCCCCACCTTTTATTGAATTAACAGGCTGCTGTCATGTCGGTGAAATATTGCTGAGTGCAGAGTTAAAGAAAATCATGCATGCACACATGCACGCACACACACGAGTATGTTCTCACTTTAGGCAACCATCTCGGTGGTCAAGTCACAGCAGTGGACTGAGTATCTGCCTAGAGAGTGGAAGGCTGGTGATTTAATCCCTGGCCATATCATACCAAATAATGTTAAAAGATGTTATTTGTTGCTTCCCTGCCTGGCGCTCACCATAAAGAGAAAAAAACAAGGACTGGTTGTCTTGGGGTTAGTATACTGTGTCTGAATGGGGTATCCATGTTAAAACTGCAGTAATATCTCAGTGGACTAGCACTAGGAATCCGGCATTACTATGGACTGGTACAAACAGTAAAACACAAACAGATACATACTAGTAGTGGGACGATACACTGATGCATTGGTGGATCGTGCCTTTTTACTTCTCGATAAAAGTATCGATCACAATCGCACACAAAGTAAAAATTGACACTGCCAACAGTAAATCGTCAGTGTGCCAGGTATTTGGCTATCCTGTCTATGAAAAAGATGGCTTACACACCACTGAAAAGAGCATATGCAAGTATCATGATATGTATAGGATCGCGAGCAAGGTTTCGTAATACGTATCGGATCGCACAGTTGGTGTATTGTCCCAGCCCTAATACATGTATATCACTATACAAGTGCATTTATCTCGCAAGCGACTTTAAAACCCCTTTCACCTCACTTCACCCCACATTGAGCTTACTCACCATGATTTAACTGAAATAGTGTGGAAACTCACTCACTTACTCAATAGGAAATCATACCATTCCCCCTCTATATATAAACTCACCCTTGCACTGACTAGCTTCGGTAGCAGCATAGACACGGGTGATCTCATTGGCGCCACATGAACGACAGTAGGTGCTGTTAACCCAAATTGTATTCAAGGGACACACTTTGCATGGCGGGAGTCTTGTGGAAGAGAATGTGCCAGAACCACACATAGCTGAAATTGTAAGTAAACAATCATGACTAAAAATATGAGTACACATCAGTCAAAATATTGACTACATATATAATTATACTGACATATCCATTGTCAATACCAGTACACCATGTTCCTGATAGAGGAGAGTTGTGTATATAAGCCAAAGTATGGGGAATGTGACCTATTACACAGGTGTGCAGACCCAAATAACCCATAGCAGTTACCTGTCCACAGTCATAACTGCATGATAAGAGTAAAACTAGTTCATGTTTAGTGGCCCATACCTAAACTTCGTTCAGCTAAACAATTTGGGGTATAACCACAACATGTTACCTGATGTTTCAGATAATAGATTGTTACAGCATGGTATATGAAGGCAAGACATATCCTTCTTACTTTCTATTCCCAGTATAGTTTTTACTGTTAAAAATAAAATACAAAAGATTTCAGATCTGTTAAAAGTGGTAGTGCTTACGTCTACACATGAGGTTAGAGCTAGCCCCAATACTGAATGTCCATTGGCCAGTTGAACAGTCCTTGCAGGTGGTGGCACCCTCTACATCATTGTATTGTCCAAGAGGACAAGCGGTACATGTATTTCCTCCAGAGTTGTAAGTACCAACAGGACATCTCACTAGAAACAAAAATGTTAACATAGAAATAACATCTAAATATAAACAAAATCCACCAAAAATCGTTTTTAGCTTTGTTGAGTATTATTATATAGTTCCTAGAAAAAAATCATCCTTCTTTTGACACAAAATATTGGTCTTGTAATCATTCTATGCACTGATTAAAAGAAAGGTTTGATGTGTTTTCAAAGTTGAGTTTTCCAGTCAAACAGCAACACCAATACAATGTAAATTACATAACTTTTGATTGGGATACTCAAATGGTTTGTACAATTAAAACACACAGAACCCAACTTCTGGAAATATTTTGTTTTTAAATCTTGAAATGAAGATGAACATATGTCAGTTCAATTACGATATTAGCATTATTTGTATGACTTGTGTCAGTCCATGCTGTCAGTCACATGTCATAATGTGGACACTCAGAATAACCCTATCAAGAGTTTAGTACTGGGATTATTTGTTGGTATTCAGCATTTCAAGATTTAACTTTATCCCTCTGGTCATGTCTGTGGTGGAGATATTCACACCTGAGACCGACATGTTGGACTATCACATGACAAGCTCAATAATCTCAAACAGACTGAACTAAAATTGTTTATGAACAAGACAAAATGTTAGCAGGGCTTACTAAACCCCTGACTTTGACTCCAAGATATTTCTAAGTTCAAAACATGAAAAAAAGCAATATTTTCTCAGAAAATCCACTTATGAAAATCAAACTTTCCACTGCACCTCTCCTATTGGTATAGAAATTATACCCCCAAATGGAAAAGAATTCATGACATAGTTTTTAGGTTATAGGTTTCACAAGTGTTGAAGTAAAGATATAATCAAAGTTCATAACATCAGAAATATCATATTTTTTTCAGAATACACATATCATAGTTAAACTTTGCACTGCACCTCTGCTATAAGCATGGAAACTGTTCCCCTAATTTGAAAAGAATCCATGAAGTTGTTTTCTAATTATAGGTCGCACACAAAAAATGTCCTTGGAAGGACGGATGTACGAAATTCCTTTGTATAACCATATTTCCCCACCCTTTTAAGTTGGGGGTATAATAAACATTGGATGATTGCCTTGAGTTATACAATTGAAGGATAGTAACAGACCTGTGGGTTATGCTTTGAATGAATACTACGAGTGATACTACTGAAGAAAATAACCTAATACATAAGATATATGTCTGGTACATACAGCAAGCAATTAGGCTTCCCAGAGTAAGTTTCTTTCTGTTTGAAGCACAACTGAAATCCCGGAAGGTTTCTATCCCCGGCGACGTGGAGTTGATAGCTGGACAGGAGACAGGAAGCAGCTGACTGGAATACCCTGCAATTGCTTTTGTCTCATCAAAGTTGAAGTCCTTCAGTATTGTGTCCACTAGAGTCGCACAAGATGCCAGCAAGGCTGTGTCTCGCCCCTCATAAATCAGAGTGAGGTTGATTATAACCTGCAGCAAAGAATTAGTCTCATCAGTGTTTGTTTTTGAGGTTTCTATGAAGTATGGCTTAGTGAGGCCAGGTGTGTTTTAAGCAGGCTGATTGTCTGAGAGGCTACATGAAATAAAATACATAAACCAAACATAGAGATGATTTTAGAATCGATTGGATATCAAGGCAAGTAAATAGTAATACATGATGGTAACATCTTTTCTGAATCAACATCATGCATCTATTAGATAAACACATAATTTCCCATCTATTGAACATAATTCAATATAACATCAGAGTGAAAAAGTCAAAATTCATAAAACACATTACCATACCCAAATCAACATGCCAACACATAACGTCAAGTTTACAAGTCATAGAAATCCAGATAGGTAATGTTGAACTATGAACAGTGCCTGATTTTGCGAGCAAATGTTGTATTGCGCTGCAGTCATCAGTATCACAGCTATATCACTGCTGCCTGTACGTAATCAATTCTGAGCCAGGCAAACAAGCAGATGACAGTATGAGCAACCATCCACAGTATCAGTCAAGTCACATAGTGAAACCACTAGATTTCCTTGGGTCAGTTCTTACGACAAACATGGGTAACCGGGGACCTAATCTGTCCTTGTGGTGGTGCTTTATTGAAGGGCAACTCAGTTTATCCAGGTAATCAAAAACTGTGCTTTCAGATAAAGAGTACAATGAAAACCAATAGGTCCATGTAGTTGACCTACCTTGTTTGTAGCTGTGTTGATGGAAATATCATTCTGTGGGCTGGCAATAAGGAGAACAAGAGTCGGCACTTCTCGTAAATTAAGACAGTAATTGTTGAGTCTTGTTCTCTGATTGTTGAGTACTGGTGTCATCATAGTAGCATAGCCCTGCTTACAGGTATCTGCCAGAGTACTGGCTGTACTAGCATCATAAGAAAATCTGATGATCTGTGTGAATTTGGCCGTCTCTGATTCTGAAACAAACAGAAGGCAGAAACATGTTTACTGTGAATACGGGTTTGGAGGAGGAAATGCTGTTGGAACCTCAGGGGACCGAAGTTAGAAGAATAAGATCATTCTCCTACTAACCAGAAGGTCAAACTTTAAATTTTGAAAATAAAAGAAAACAACCCAGAAATTAAACCATACACTACTGCTCTCCCTGGTGACTTACGTGTGAAAGAACATGCAGGAATCACAGCTTTATCGAACGGACCATCTGTGATACAGGAAGTAGTCACGGTTGTCTGGCTAGACTGGTCATAGAAGGCGTAGTTAGCATCACAAGTAAGATCGCATCTGTAGCCACCATTATTGATGAGGGCTGTGCAGGACTTCTGACCATTCACAGGCTTGGGGATGGACATTGGTGAACAAATGGCAGCTGAAAGTAAACAGGAATCAATGAATTCAAAATCATTTGCTCAAATAATATTTAACCTAGATTTTTCATGAATGGACCAGTCAACTTCCGTATGAAAAAGGGTAATCAGTTTTAAAATGAAACAATCTATCAAAAATGCTATAACTTCATACAAGCATTTATAAATCCATAGGGGTTCTGCGGTCCTTTAAGTTTGTCATAATAGGATTTGAATGCTTGCGCCCATACTTTTTTCATAATTACAATCAGCGTAACGACAAGGACCCTTGGATGTCATGCTTAATTTTGAGCATTGTTATAACATGTTTATTCAAACATACAGTAATTATTCTGTATGAAGATATATAGCATGGAAGGAAAGAAGTAGAGCCTAGCCATTGAATAGATATCCTTCATGTTCAGAATGATACAACATCAAGCTCAGTATTGACACACAAAAACATTTTATGATATGCCAAATTGTTAGATAAATTCAAACACTTCATCATTTATTAGTAAGTTCCCAGTCTGGACCTGCACAAATGAGAAATGGTCTATTATATATTGACAATACAGTATACTTGCTACATTTTGTAGGAGGAAAAACAACTCAATTTGTGTAATTAACAAAAAAGTACACATTTATTAACATTGCATTCCCAAATGTTGTGTATCATATATTGTATATGAATTCTAATTTTGCCACAGCATGTATCCTATCATTTTGTAATATACCAAGCTAGAACATTTGAATAGGATCCAGCCTAAAATTGAGCCATTTGTCTCTGTCATGGAAGTATAGCCAGATTGATCTCTACTGTGAAATTTGACATTATAGTGACACTATGGATAAGCTTCAGTTGAAGCAATGTCATCCTAAAATCTTCCTTTGATCTTGATATAGAACTTGACCTACCTCAAAATAACATTGTCAAGTTATAACTGAAATGATGGTCTTATGACCTTCTTTGGATCTCTAGACAAAACACGACTTTAAAGTGACAATTTTGTATGGACATGTTAACTGAAAGAAATCTGACATACCTAGATTATTATTGTTGGCTATTTCTCCTTTAAACTCATGTTTGATCTAGATGGTAAAACTTTTATTGACTAGTGGATTCGTTAATTGCATGGAACCTGGCATGCCAAGCTAAGTATTATAGGCAATTCCTTCTTAAAACCCACCTTTTGCCATGACCTGGAATCGGCATGTGTTTCTATTTCCTGCAGCATCAATTGCAGTAGCTGTGACCCATTGAACAAAGTTGGCTTGGCTGATGAAGGCTGCAGAAATGTTCAGTGCTGGAGGGTTGAAGAGAACAGAGGGAGTGCTGCCACTGTCATCACTTACAATCATACCTAATGCAGATACACTAAACTGCCAATATTTGTGGTCAGTTTCTTCCTTGAATTCCTCTACCACTGGATCTGGGCATCGAATTGTTGGTGGTACTTCATCTGAAAGAAATAGACAGTAAAACTAAGAAAGCATTTAATAAATGGGTATAGAAATATACTGCATGAAACTATAAATGCTACTCAGTACTGTCTGAAAAATATGAGTAAATCTAACATTACTCACATCCATTAGCTGAAGAGAAAAAAACATTGACACATGCCCTCTTTTCCAGTTGTAATGACACATGCAAGGTTGTGCCACACATATTATTCGGAAAATGTTTTTAAAATATAGCATCATTCTAGATTACAGCAAGTTTTGTTCACTCCTTAATACCTTATCTTAAGTCAGTACTGTGACAGACAACAAAGTTATTGTCATGGCAAGGTATGGATATGGTAATGGACATCAGGTAACACTGATCTTAAAACACAGACGTGTGCATTGTAGCATGTTTGTATTTTACACCCATGGTATGACTGAGTCATCCAATAAAGAGAGAAACAGCACTGACCATAATAAACCTCTTTTAGAGTCATTCACATGCAGAAATCTTCCAAAACAAATGCTATAATGATAGGTTATACACAAGTCACGAATCAGAAACCTGTGATTCATATTTCTATAGGATCAACATGCCAGATACCTGAATGAATGTCACTTCCAAAAGATCTTTGTTCAATAGCGGATGAAATTGTTAAGAAATCACATTATATATAATATAGCTCAAGGTAAAATGCTGTAGATAATTGGTCAGGGCATTTATTTTAGATAAAGTCGAGGCCTGTTTATTGTGGTCAGGAAGTGTGAGATATTTGTTTGAATTTGTTTTAAGAATATAGTGAGTCCTCTCATCAAACAAAACTGCAGAAAGTAAATCCACATCTAAAAAACCCAGAAAAGACAGAGACGTGACATGAAAAGTGCTCAGCAAACATCACATTTAAAAGAAAACACTTGATGCCCAGCTTCCAAATTTGGATGTAAGTCAAAGCTCCCTTACAGCACTTGTCAAACTTTTTGAGTAAATATGAATAATAACTATTCATTATTCATAAGGACTACCATGAGCATTTCTTTGTAATTAGAAAACAGTATTCAGGGAGAACAAGTTAGTAGAGAGCAACAAAGTAACAACACACTGCTTCTCAGCTGTCAAGTTTTCTCATGGAATGACAGAACATATAAACAGAACATCTGAAGAGAACACCATATGTCCATGTCACATCTCACCTAGCTCCTCCTCCGCTGGAACCAAAGTCAGTTATGTGCATATTGAATATATACAAGTACACCTGTCATAAAGAAGACTTCATTTATATATTTGACATTTTATTAAAGGTCAAAAGTAAAACAAACCATATCAAAAGGCATGAACTGACTATTGGTTTGTCAGTTCAAAGTCATGTTCTCATCACAACTATGTCTGGGATATTATACATCATGGCAAGGATGGAAGGAACTGGCTGCTGGTTTGTTTTTTGAGGTCATGTTCTCATGACAGCTACATCTGAGATATTATTCATCATGGCAAGGATTGAAGGAAAAGGCTGCTGGATGTTTGTTGAGGTCATGTTCTCATGACAACTTTGTCTGAGATATTGCTCACAATGGCAAGGATGGAAGGAACTGGCTGCTGGTTTGTTTCTTGAGGTCATGTTCTCATTACAGCTTTGTGACGTGCACACATGATTTGACGCACTGCGCGAAGGAAGACCAATTTTATTACAAAATAGATCTTGGTTATCAATCATATTGTCTTCACTGGGCATCACTATTTTGTTTAAAGCAAATGCAATTGATATGAGAGATGGAATCTGATCTGTCAATAGGAGGGACAAAGAAGGGACATAAGTCACTAAGGCACTACAATTGAGCCCAGAAATTCCAGCCTAGTTCAGCAATGGTAAAAACTGGACTTTAAAAGTCTGTCAATTACCTCCCTTGCCTCAGGAAGATGACATATTCTATAGGAAAGAATTTCTATCAAAAGCAAAAAAGCAAAAATTCCAGTCATACCATGGATTCCAGAACGTGATTATGTTTTCCAGATATTAAAAAAAAAGTTAATGAATTCAAAATAAAGAATTGACAAGATATGATATGTGAATAAAAGAGATATTCTATAAAGGTTATATAAAAGAATGAATAAATACCTAATACTTTGACTTTTGTAGTGCAAAATTCCTTGTTGCCATTGAAGTCTTCAGCTGTGAATACAAAGTCTTCCTCTGATGCAATGAGTAGCTGATCTGAAGGCCATGTAGGTGTGATGGTCATTGATTTGATGCCAGTATTGTCAGATGGTGTTGGAGGAGTGACAGCATTCGATGCTGTTGTGTATTTACTGACAGTTTTCTCGGCCACACAGTTGCTGAATGTAGGTTTCTGGGTATCTGTAAAACAACAAGGTAACATATATAAAACCTATATACAAGGTATGTCAATAATACTGAGTGAGTGCACTAGTTTTACACCAATATACTCAGTACATACGAGGTCTTAAAGCCAATAATTGTGAGTTATGAGTTCAGGTTTACGCCTATATACTCGGTACATACCAGGTCTTAAAGCCAATAATTGTGAGTTATGAGTTGGGGTTTACTCCTATATACTCGGTACATACGAGGTCTTAAAGCCAATAATTGTGAGTTATGAGTTGAGGTTTACTCCTATATACTCGGTACATACGAGGTCTTAAATCCAATAATTGTGAGTTATGAGTTCAGGTTTACTCCTATATACTCGGTACATACCAGGTCTTAAAGCCAATAATTGTGAGTGATGAGTTGAGGTTTACTCCTATATACTCGGTACATACGAGGTCTTAAATCCAATAATTGTGAGTTATGAGTTCAGGTTTACTCCTATATACTCGGTACATACCAGGTCTTAAAGCCAATAATTGTGAGTTATGAGTTGGGGTTTACTCCTATATACTCGGTACATTCTAGGTCTTAAAGCCAATAATTGTGAGTTATGAGTTGGGGTTTACTCCTATATACTCGGTACATACAAGGTCTTAAAGCCAATAATTGTGAGCGATGAGTTGAGGTTTACTCCTATATACTCGGTACATACCAGGTCTTAAAGCCAATAATTGTGAGTGATGAGTTGAGGTTTACTCCTATATACTCGATACATACCAGGTCTTAAAGCCAATAATTGTGAGTGATGAGTTGAGGTTTACTCCTATATACTCAGTACATACCAGGTAAGCCAATAATTGTGAGTGATGAGTTCAGGTTTACTCCTATATACTCGGTACATAATAGGTCTTAAAGCCAATAATTGTGAGTTATGAGTTGGGGTTTACTCCTATATACTCGGTACATACAAGGTCTTAAAGCCAATAATTGTGAGTGATGAGTTGAGGTTTACTCCTATATACTCGGTACATTCTAGGTCCTAAAGCCAATAATTGTGAGTGATGAGTTGAGGTTTACTCCTATATACTCGATACATACCAGGTCTTAAAGCCAATAATTGTGAGTGATGAGTTGAGGTTTACTCCTATATACTCAGTACATACCAGGTCTTAAAGCCAATAATTGTGAGTGATGAGTTGAGGTTTACTCCTATATATTCGATACATACCAGGTCTTAAAGCCAATAATTGTGAGTGATGAGTTGAGGTTTACTCCTATATACTCGGTACATACTAGGTCTTAAAGCCAATAATTGTGAGTGATGAGTTGAGGTTTACTCCTATATACTCGGTACATTCTAGGTCCTAAAGCCAATAATTGTGAGTGATGAGTTGAGGTTTACTCCTATATACTCGATACATACCAGGTCTTAAAGCCAATAATTGTGAGTGATGAGTTGAGGTTTACTCCTATATACTCGGTACATACGAGGTCTTAAAGCCAATAATTGTGAGTTATGAGTTCAGGTTTACGCCTATATACTCGGTACATACCAGGTCTTAAAGCCAATAATTGTGAGTGATGAGTCGATGTTTACACCTATATACTCGGTACATACTAGGTCTTAAAGCCAATAATTGTGAGTGATGAGTTGAGGTTTACTCCTAAATACTCAGTACATACCAGGTCTTAAAGCCAATAATTGTGAGTGATGAGTTGATGTTTACTCCTATATACTCGGTACATACCAGGTAAGCCAATAATTGTGAGTGATGAGTTGAGGTTTACGCCTATATACTCGGTACATAATAGGTCTTAAAGCCAATAATTGTGAGTTATGTGTTGAGGTTTACGCCTATATACTCGGTACATACAAGGTAAGTCAATAATAGTAAGTGAGTGAGTTGTTTTACACCTATATACAGTCAAGTCTCGTTAATCCGACACTCGTTAATCCGACACTCGGCTTTATCCGACACAAATGATGGGAACCGATTGATTCAGCGCTATTTAGTCCCGTTAATCCGACATTCTCGCACTCCGACTCCGACACACCTAATTTGCAACGAATTACTGAAATCACTCATTAATCAGTCTCGTTAATCCGACACAGTGGTCAGCGTACTCCGTGGTCATCTGCCCGCGAGTACACAACCCCGTGTTTTGACATGCACCGGCTGCAGAGATTAACTTTAACAATTAACACTAGATGCCGGGATCATAAAGAATTTCCAGCTTTATTATAAGAAACAAATGAAATTACACTTCGACAATGTTGATGCTGAAGAACCACCAGCCCTAAACGTCAAGCGAACAGGGGACTTTGAGAAATGTGCCTTCAAAATGTGAGAAACAGAAAACACTGACAGACTATTTTAAGTAGATGAAGCAAGTTGTTAAGACAGTAGCACTTGCATTTACACGAGGAAACACACGGTTATTATCTATCGTGAAGATGTCCGATTTTCGATCACAAATCACTTAATTTCGTTAATCCGACATACTCGTTAATCCGACACAATCATGTGCAACCAACGATGTCGGATTAACGAGACTTGACTGTACTCGGTACATACTAGGTTTTAAAGCCAAGGATGGGGAGTGATGAGTTAAGGTTTACGCCTATACCAGGTAAGCCAAAAAATGGTGAGTGATGAGCTGAGGTTTACGCTGTTTTTTTAAAGCATCATTCCAGCCATATAACAGTAGGGAAGACCAAGGATGGCCTTCACACACTGTGCCCATGTGGGGAATCGAACCCGGAACTTAGACATGACAAGCCAACGCTTTAATTAATTGACTATCCCAACTACTTTTAAACAATTGTAGAACGTAAGTTAATGAGATTTTAGATGAACAAAGTATTAGTGCCAAATAACTTTTCTCTTCACATGAAAGTTACAGATGACCTCTCTAATTTACTCTACCGGTTTCACCAATGTGATTTTCAAGAGTACATGTAAACCAATATGCTATATTAACATCATAGTGCACGATAACATAGTATGACGTTATTGTGACATCATAGTGCAATCTTACATATTATGATGTCACAGTACAAAGGCTCATAACCTTGTGTGGGGCGTGTATACAACACATACATGAATACAGATATAAGTATTACAGTAGCAGGAAAATAAACAATAATTGTATGAATTAATTAAATTACCGTATTGGATGTAATAAGCGCCCAGGGCACTCTCAAAATTAGAAATAAGAGCGCATATTAGAATATTATTTTGGTAAATGGTGAACGTAAATTTTGTGGTCTATGCTGACACCCTGAAATGTTTATATACGACAGATATAGTTTTCCAGAATTTAATTTCCATAATTAAGGGTACATATAACACATGAGTGCGCATAATACACGAATAAATAAGTCTTGTGTACATTGGTTAATCGGAAGGGTGCTAATTGGGATTGTTCACTAGCCAATATATTAGCAAATATCGCCATGGGCGCTTATTAGAGCAGGGCGCTTATTACGTCGAATACGGTATTCTATACTCATCATTCAAAACTGATATTTTTATATTATTGAGGTTGGTTCTGTTTACAGTTGACTGTCTCATCATGGAAAGCTTGGATCAGTAATATACCAGATAGGTTAAATGACTTACCAACACATGTGGGGACAGGTCGGTTCCACTTCAAACCAATGTCGAGTATACAGGTGAGGGGTGTGGCACCTTGTAGGGTGTAGCCTGGGCGATTACATGTATAGTTGACCTGATTATTCTCCTCATAAGAGGTTGCATGTTGTGTGCCATCCACAGGTCGACCAGGGTCACTGCAAGTATTACCTAGGGCAAACATTGATAATGAGTGAGTGAGTTTGATATAATGTCACTTAGAAAAGTAGTTCAGTTGTATCATGTGTCAACCGAAGTTATGTATGTAAAAATGTAGACAAACCAAGGATCATGACAAGACCAAGAAATACTGATAAAAATGTTGACTTATATACATGGGTATCAAACCAAAATACAGTCCAACCCAAAATATGTATCATAAGTGAGTGAAAATGTAACATAATTGGCAATAGGTATGTTCAATCTAGCCATCATCTGACAACCGAAGTAAAAAGATTAGCCATGAGCTCTGAGTTTTGAGACATGATAGTATCTACCAGTATTCATATAATAAATCTGTTACTCACCAAGACACCTGAGAGTGCCCCATCCCCAGTAGCCATTGCTCTTGCACTGAACAGTATCGTTATTTAGACTGGATGTTCCCTCTTTTGTGTACTGGTTCTTACAGACAAATTGAAACTGTGTGCCGTAGGTTGTTTGGATGCCTGCAGGTATGACAGCTCCAGGGACACCAGATGGTGTGCCACAGTCAATCACTGGAAGAAATAAATGTACAAAAACATATAATAACTTACAAAAATAAACAATTCATTAAAGGCTTATTGAGGATAATGTATATGTGTTGGATTAGACAAATGTAGGTACTGATATTAAAACAGTTACTTGGCCTTCGTGGACACTTGGAAGGTGTCCTGGATAAGGTCATTTTCAGTCATTTAAAACCAATTTGTCGGTCTGCTTATTCAAGTTTTATGTAGATCAATCAGCATTTATTCACTACCTTGAGTATATAATAACAAGATCTCAGTTTCAGTCAAGGCACAATAATATTACAATGATAAGTATAGTAGCAGATAGTAGAGCATAGTCCCTCTTTAATATATTTGAATCTATCCCAATGTGTCACTCACCTCCACACTCTAACTGTGCACCGAACAGCTTGTACTGTTTAGTGTCGGGGTCCAACAGACACTGACGTTGTTTAAGGAAAGATACTCGGCCAGGCACATTACAAGAAATATTGACATTGCCCAGGTAGTCTACACTCCCAGATGGAGTCACACTAGGAGTGGTCTTCAGGTTGCCCGGGATACTCACAGGAGGACATATGGCAGCTGAAGGTGATATTGAAACAATTTTAGTAATAATATCACACTGTAGAAAGTGTCAAATACAACACGGAGGAATGCTGTATTATTGTTTGTTTTTTAATGCCAGGGTCAGCAATATTTCAGCTATATCACGGCACCCTATAAACAAATTTTCAAGTCTCGACCGGAAAAGCCAGATATCTAATTAATCAGCAACATCCCACACAGTTGGGGTACAATGAAATGCAACCAATTCATCAAGTCTGATCACCCAGTCGCCTCTTTACAAGCATAGGTTGCAGGGGACCAATTCTAAACAGGCATCTCCATCCGGGCGCAGAGAGGACAGTAGCACATGAAACTTTAGATCAAGGCAACAGAACAGATCACTGATACTTTTCATCTTTTGTCAAATGAAATAAAACAGTTTACTTTATTCCACTAATTATTGTCATTATATAGTAATTGCATTACTTTATAATTCAATGCAGGGTGGTCGGGTAGCCTAGTGGTTAAAGCATTCGCTTGTCACGCCAAAGACCTGGGTTAGATTCCTGACATGGGTAAAATGTGTGAAGCCCATTTCTGGTGTCCCCCGCCGTGATATTGCTGGAATATTGCTAAAAGCGACGTAAAACCATACCCACTCACTCACTCACTATAATTCAATGCAAGCAGAAAGAAGTTATGAAAGATTCAAACTGGCAGTTTTGAACATGTCATGGCATGACTGTTGGCTAGTTTTAAACTTACGACTACAGGTGGGTGCTGTCCCATTCCATCGTCCATTAGCTTGGCAGATACGAAGGGACTGACCAATCAAGTTGAACCCAATGTTACAGGACATGATGATTCTATCTTCAAATCGGTAGTACTTGCGGCTGTTCAGGATGTAGCCATTGTCCAGTGGTGGGGGGTCCATGCATTGGATACCTGGTAAATATAGGTCAGAGCATGTGTCACATGTCACGTGGGTAGCCTTGTGGGCCAGGTTTGATTTCCACATGAGTACAATAGGGTGGGCATATTCTTCATTTCTTCATATTCATTTCTCTTTCACATGCAACATTGCTAAAAGTCACTAGTTCACTTTATGTTACTGTCACTTAAGATGCTACTGAAGGAATGACATTACAAAACAGTTTGCAGACTCAAAATGAGAAATATTTTAACAATCAAAACCAAGACTTCCAACATCGATATGGACTTTAGACAAAAGAAACACAATAACAGTAAATATTTCAATAATGACTAAACATAAATCATTATGCTTTATTCCTTGGTCACATACAAATATGAAATTGATTGCAATGGTTCTACTTACGGACACATGTATGGTTGAATCTGTAAATGTCGCCTGCCATGGTGCCATCCTCATTGTTGGCGAGGGTGTAGTTGAGCTGGCCATCCATGGAGAAGAGTTGATAGCCTGAGTTACACTGACACTTGTAGCTTCCCACGTCATTCACACATACTTGGCTACAACCACCATTGTCAGCGTTACATTCATTAACATCTGGAACAGATCATAATAATCAGCAATAACCACTGTTGTCTTCATCATATTTGTTGTCACTCCTCACATCATGGTCATCATAAAGATGATTATCTCCATTAATATCATCATAAGGATGATTATCTCCGTTAATATCATCATTAAGATGATTATCTCCATTAATATCATCATAAGGATGATTATCTCCATTAATATCATCATAAAGATGATTATCTCCTTTAATATCATCGTAAGGATGATTATCTCCGTTAATATCATCATAAGGATGATTATCTCCGTTAATATCATCATAATGATGATTATCTCTGTTAATATCATCATAAGGATGATTATCTCTGTTAAAATCATCATAAGGATGATTATCTCTGTTAATATTATACGGATGATTATCTCTGTTAATGCCATAAGGATGATAATCTGCATTAATATCATCATTAGGATGATTATCTCCATTAATATCATCATAAGGATGATTATCTCCATTAATATCATCATAAAGATGATTATCTCCGTTAATATCATCATAAGGATGATTATCTCCATTAATATCATCATAAGGATGATTATCTCCATTAATATCATCATAAGGATGATTATCTCTGTTAATATTATACGGATGATTATCTCTGTTAATGCCATAAGGATGATTATCTCCATTAATATCAGCATAAGGATGATTATTTCCGTTAATATCAGCATAAGGATGATTATCTCCATTAATATCATCATAAAGATGATTATCTCCGTCAATATCATCATAAGGATGATTATCTCCATTAATATCATCATAAGGATGATTATCTCCATTAATATCAGCATAAGGATGATTATTTCCGTTAATATCAGCATAAGGATGATTATCTCCATTAATATCATCATAAAGATGATTATCTCCGTCAATATCATCATAAGGATGATTATCTCCATTAATATCATCATAAGGATGATTATCTCCATTAATATCAGCATAAGGATGATTATATCCGTCAATATCAGCATAAGGATGATTATCTCCGTTAATATCATCATAAGGATGATTATATCCGTCAATATCAGCATAAGGATGATTATATCCATTAATATCAAGAGGATGATTATCTCCGTCAATATCAGCATAAGGATGATTATCTCCGTTAATATCATCATAAAGATGATTATCTCCGTTAATATCAATATGATTATCACTGTTACTGTCATCATTAATATCATTTCTACTGTCACTGTCATCATGAAGCCAAGATCACTATCGCTGTGATGTCACAATAAATATTTATATTGTTGATATTGCCATCACGAAAATTATGTTCACTGTTATTGTCATTATAATACCATTATCACTGTTATTATTCTCATGAAGATCACTATCACTGTAATGTCATAATAATCATTGATGTTGTCATCATGTAGATTATGATCACTGTTATTGTCTTCATGCTCACTCTTCTTGTACTTGTCATCAGGACAATTATTGCTTCTTTTGTCACTGTCATCATCATAGTCATCAAATCCAGTGTAATCATTTTACAACATGTCGCACATCAGGAATGGAAATTAACTCTCGCACATTGGCCTGAGACGAGTAGAAACTACTACTCGGTATTAGCCAACAGGGCCAGTGTTTTGAGACATTCTGTAAATAACATATTGCCCCCTTGATCTCTGTCAAATCACAACACTAGCTATTGGCACAACCTTTCCAGACTTTAAAGATTGAAATTTGAAAGTCTTCATATTTTATAAGGACATTATCTTGAAAACTATCATTATCATGTGTATCAGGTTGATAAAAATCACCAACTTCTACACTTACCATCACAGGAGCGTCCATTAGCATTGAGAGTGTAGCCGGGCCGACAGGAACACTTGTAAGAACCATCTGTATTCATGCAGTCCTGGGCACATGGTCCAGGACACTCATCGATATCTGAAAACATGAGAGTTTGGGTGAATATACCTCACATATCACCATACTTTCAAGACTGCAATATTGACGACTTGATGAATATGATAAAGATTACTTATTATTGGCTGATACACACTTAACACAAGAAATCAGTTCATGATATTTCAGGATGAAGAAGAATCAAGAAAGATTTTCAGAAGAAAATAAGTCAAGCCTTTTCAGTCAATTAAATATCTGTGATTAGAAGATAAGATACGTCTACAGCACATTATCATTTGTTACAACCAGGGCCTTCAGAATCACATTAAGTAAAAGAATGTCCCAAATATGCCATACAACTTGAAAACATAAAAAATATTCTGCTCCAGGGATTCCATGTTAGAGTTGCTCCTCTGTAACCTCAGCTTCTTGTTGATTGCATGTCATTGTACACTGAAGGCATGGGTTGTTGTTCATAATATCAATCACAGGTTCGTCTATTTACAGCCTGCCATATAGTTGGAATATTGCTGACTGATGTGTTAAGCAACAAACAAACAAATTGAAATGATTAACTAGCATTAACAGACTAGTTATGGTATTAGTATCTATTTGGATAACATGGGACAAAGGTCAAACTATTGTAAAGCTGATTGCCATTCAATTTGATTGTACAAGTTGCCATTACCAATTTCACAAATAACTGCATTCACATGGCTCCTAGTGGGTAACTTAATGGATAGTACATTCAGGAAACACTAAAGTTAGTTCTCCTGGATGGTATAAGTTTATCATGAGAAGAGACTCAGTTAAATAAGTGGCATAAATCTGTACTCACTTGCCCTCTTCTCAGTAACACATTCACTCACCTTCACACGCCATGGTATCCAGGTTTGTAAACATTTGGTCAGCACCACATGTGACCTGGCTGCTGGAGGTGTTGAGCCTGTAGCCGCTGTCACAAGTGACTTGGCGGAGGACTCCAAAGAAGGCCTCCTGTGTGCTGGTCAACCTTCCATGAGGGATGCGGGGTATTGGACAATTCAGTGCTGCAGAACAAAACACAGGACATAAACACATAGACAATGACTACAAGGCATAAACTCCTCATCAATATTTCTTTGAAACAGATGAGGATCAGTTCAAATTTGCTCAATAATGTTACATGGTTTCCCCATGGAATATTTCACTCACTGTTTCACAAACATGGACTCAACAGTGTTGCCTTGTTGAATTATATTTACATGTGAATTGAATAATTTAATAAGATATGCAAGAGTTATATTGTCCCAAACGATATATGTTTACTGTAGTGTAGTATAAGGCACTCTAAGAAAAGGATGTACTAAAACTATGATAATCAATCCAATTAAATCAACATTCAATGGATTATTTTCCATTTTCCACACAGTAAAAGTCGTGATCTTGGAAATCATGGGAATTCAAACCACTGTAAGAGTAACATATTATCTGTTGTTCTGAGTGCTGATATTTGAACTTTGTGACCATAGGGATTCTGCTGGGGCCCATCAAATTACACCATCAACAGTATATCAAGTTACCAGAATCCGAGATCCAAAATGTTCTATTGCATGTGAACATTAACAAAAAGTCAAAAGTGAGATAAGTTTTGATTACCTACACTTTCATAAGGAAATAATATTAAATAACTAAATATATAAATCTAACAGAATGTTACTGCATTGGAATAATGAAAATATACTCTATTTCTGTAAACTATCAATTTACAAATGTTGATGACATAAACATATTTCCATCTTGTATTGAGAGGTTGATTGCAGTACAACAAATGTTATATATACATTTACAGGGAGATTCAGAAGCAGTCCAAGTACTGCTGGAGGTACAGAAGAGTATGACTGCAATACATGTTGTACTTACGTATACAGGAAGGAACAGAAGCAGTCCAAGTACTGCTAGAGGTACAGAAGAGTATGACTGCAATACATGTTGTACTTACGTATACAGGAAGGACAGAAGCAGAGGTACAGAAGAGTATGATTGCAATACATGTTGTACTTACGTATACAGGAAGGGACATTAGCAGTCCAAGTACTGCTTGAGGTACAGAAGAGGATGGGCTCTCCTGATATCTGGTAGCCTGCATTGCAGGTAAAGTTCACGATGGATCCAAACTCAGTGCCGTCTCCTTCAACCTTTGTGACAGTTCCGAAGTTCAAGGTTGTAGATAAAGGACTGCATGAGGCAACTGTAGGAAGACACAAAATGTAGGATGACTGTATAAGCAACTCAGAAATACTCAATCATTCTACTGATTCGGGTCAGAATAGGTCTTCAGCAACCCATGCTTGTTGTAAAAGGCGACTATGCTTGTTGTAAGGAGCAAAATGGTTGATAAAAGTCATTGTATCTTAATTTCATAGATTGAAGCTCATGTCAGTCACTGGATTGTCTGGTCCAGACTCAATCATATTCAGACTGCCATGATATTAGCTGGCATATTGCCCAGGGTGTTGTCAACAAACAAACAACTGAAGACTTCAATGTCACTTTTGATGTCTTAATGTCTAAATCAAAACTTTCCACTCCTACAAAATGACTTATTCTGATATTAAAAGAGCAGTTGTAAGTTTGAGCTTACTGTGTATTCTTAGAAAGGAAAATAAAAGGGGCATTAAACTTTATCTTATGAAGACAGGTGTGAATCCCATATTCATTATGGTTATGATCCATGGTGTTTTAGCACCATATCTGTTATCAGCATACCTGCATGCTTGCTTACGTCTCACGTTCAGCTGACACACCATATCATAACAAAATGACCCAACTCACTCACTCACACACATGTACCCATGTTACATTGTCTGCTGGTGACTCACTTGTGCAGGTGGGGGTCGGCCCCCAGGTGCCATCATTGCGACAGCTGATGGTAGCAGAGTTTGAGAGAGTGAACCCAGGATAACAGGAGTAGGTGACACTCCCACCAACGCTGCTGCTCTGGCCAGTTGAGGAGTTGACGTAAGCATTATTCACGAGAGGTGCAGAACCACAGTACTTGGCTGAAATAACAACATAGAAAATGTCTGTCTGACAAAAGTCATATTCAACCTGACATAATTCTGTTGAGTCACATATTATGTCCACAAAATTCAAGAAAACCCAAAAGTTCTTTCATAGTGAGAAAAAAGCTCTGATGTAAGTCTGCAGTAAGACAAGTTCTATGGATGAACAACGTCTTTATTACAATTAGTGCGACGTTTCGGTGTAGATCCTAACACCTTTATCAAGCAAGTGATGCTGGCTTGATAAAGGTGTTAGGATCTACACTGAAACGTTGCACTAATTGTAATAAAAAAGTTGTTCATCCATAGAGCTTTTCTTACTTCATCACACAAACTTCTAAATGCCACTTAAAGAAGTCTGATGTAAGTCTGTTTTACAAAATGGATTGAATTCCGATAGTCTAGTATAGTTTGCAATACCTCTTGTTACTCAGTCAACTATACTTACGCTGACAGCTTGGAGTGGTATCACGGTCCCACTTTCCTCCATACATGCATTTCATTCTTGCAACGGAGAAGCTTTCAAAGGCAGGAGCCTTGCTTTTGTCCTGGTCCTCTTGTGAGGCAAACCTGTAACCATCCTTGCACGTCACCACAAACTCGGACATAAACTGCCAGTTTGCGTTTGATGGCGTCAAAACTGTGTTTTCATTGAAGTTAGGGTTGGGGCAGTCTGGAATAAAAATCTCATGTTTGTAACAAGTTGTGAAAAAATAACTTTGTAAACAAGGATTATGTGTCAATATATAGATCAATACTAATACATGTGAATGGTGTTTAATGAATGTCTTATATTAATTCAGATAAAAAACTTCATCAAAAAACAAAACTTCATCAAATCATATCTACTCCTGTAGATAGTGTATAAAACTGATGAACTGTTATGGATAAACAGGAAAGTGTTGAGAGTATATATACCCAGGGGTATGACATTAATTAGGATGCACAGACAATGCACAGTTTCCTGTTTTACAAGATTTGGGTGAAAATAACCAAATGTTCTGTTTCTCACCTATTGAATATTCAAACAGAAATCCCATCTCTCTTATTATGGCATTGGTTTTGAAGGTGACATTGAATTCTCCATTGTTTGATCTGCTTTGCACAACGGTGTCCCCAGAGAGAACATCTGGGCTAGCACCTCCATAGTGGACCTGTACAACAAAAACAGGGCAACTTGGTAACCTGCATTCAAAATAAAGGTGGGTCCTGGGGTCCTTGTGGTGTGCCCCTATTGTATTGGAATCTAGGGACCACCAAACCTGTACCTTTTAACATCAGATTACTCACATGAACCCCTTGCTTTTCATTCTTAATTGTGAATACCGGTAACATACCACAGCACCTCAATACCAAATACACACATGAGGCAACATTTAATGACGGAGGATCTAATTACACTCACAATGTGAAAGAAACATTCTGTATGAAATTTATTGGTTAAGAGTAATAAAGACAATGACATCATTTCCTATCTAAAAGACATCTCTGATTACTTAGTGTATCATATATTAATGCTATTATCATATACATCACCAGGAATTTACCTATCTTTTAGTCTTTCAGACTCTTTGTATAAATATTCAGGGACCAAGGCATGAACATGATTTACAAGAATTTGACATTTTCAAAATTAGAAAGAAAATCAACCATTTCCACTCTGGGCTGACAGTGTAATTCTTACAAGAACAGAAATGTCTGTTGTATGTAGCATGTAATCTATAATTTTAGTTTGTTTTAATGATTCAAACAAACATACTTTCTTGCATCCCCAATACTTGCAACTTAAATTATTTACATCCACTCTCAATTCATATGCATGATATGAGAATAGATGTATCCTGAACACATTTGCTGAAGAGATGCATTTTTCTAAATGACACTTGAAATAGTCAAACTGTCCAACAACACTCATGTTTGGGAGACTTTGTGAAGTTATATAAAAGAGATGGAAATTGTGACATTACTTCCCAAGCAGGACAAATAAATAGGTGCAGGTATTCATCATCATGGTTGGGTAACTGTATAAAGCACTAGGTTTTGAGGACTTCTTCAATTCAGGATATTGCACAAAACAAATCTTACAGTCACTACATCTTCACTTGTCTGTGTCTTGAATCCTCTGTTGATTAGTGTGATATTGGGTTTGCCAGGCACGTCCACTCTGAAGTTACATGAGATGTCATTGGAGTAGTTCATGGCAGTGTTACCATCAAGGGCATAGCCGGGTGAGAAGAGTCTGCCTTTCATGGATGTCAGCAGCATGTCACATCCTGAAAAGCATTCATGATTGTTAGGACGCATTGAGATATCAGATGACATTTGATATGTCTTGTGTCATTGAATCAAAAACTTAGAACACTTTCTCAAAGGAGTAACAAAGGGATTCTGAACCCACCTTTGTACGCGTATGAATGTGCATCTGAAACCCACCTTGTCTGTATGTGAATCTAAACCCACCTTGTCTGTATGTGAATCTGAACCCTCCTTGTCTGTATGTGAATCTGAACCCTCCTTGTCTGTCTGTAAATCTGAACACACCTTGTCTGCCTGTAAATCTGATCACACCTTGTCTGTATGTGAATCTGAACCCTCCTTGTCTGTATGTGAATCTGAACCCCCCTTGTCTGTCTGTAAATCTGAACCCTCCTTGTCTGTCTGTAAATCTGAACACACCTTGTCTGTATGTGAATCTGAACACACCTTGTCTGTATGTGAATCTGAACCCTCCTTGTCTGTATGTGAATGTGAACCCTCCTTGTCTGTCTGTAAATCTGATCACACCTTGTCTGTATGTGAATCTGAACCCTCCTTGTCTGTATGTGAATCTGAACCCTCCTTGTCTGTATGTGAATCTGACCCCCCCTTGTCTGTATGTGAATCTGAACACACCATGTCTGTATGTGAATCTGAACCCTCCTTGTCTGTATGTGAATCTGAACCCCCCTTGTCTGTATGTGAATCTGAACCCTCCTTGAATGTATGTGAATCTGAACCCTCCTTGTCTGTATGTGAATCTGAACACACCTTGTCTGTATGTGAATCTGAACACACCTTCTCTGTATGTGAATCTGAACCCTCCTTGTCTGTATGTGAATCTGAACCCACCTTGTCTGTATGTGAACCTGAACCCTCCCTTGCCTGTATGTGAATTTGAACCCTCCTTGTCTGTATGTAAATCTGATCACACCTTGCCTGTATGTGAATCTGAACCCACCTTGTCTGTATGTGAATCTAAACCCTCCTTGTCTGTCTGTAAATCTGAACCCCTCTTGTCTGTATGTGAATCTGAACACACCTTGTCTATATGTGAATCTGAACCCACCTTGTCTATATGTGAATCTGAACACACCTTGTCTATATGTGAATGTGAATCTGAACCCTCCCTTGTCTGTATGTGAATCTGAACACACCTTTCTATATGTGAATGTGAACACACCTTGTCTGTATGTGAATGTGAACACACCTTGTCTGAATGTGAATCTGAACCCTCCTTGTCTGTATGTGAATCTGAACCCCCCTTGTCTGTCTGTAAATCTGAACACACCTTGTCTATATGTGAATGTGAATCTGAACCCTCCCTTGTCTGTATGTGAATCTGAACACACCTTGTCTATATGTGAATGTGAACACACCTTGTCTGTATGTGAATCTGAACCCCCCTTGTCTGTATGTAAATCTGAACACACCTGGTCTATATGTGAATCTGAACCCTCCTTGTCTGTATGTGAAGCTGAACACACCTTGTCTGTATGTGAATGTGAACACACCTTGTCTGTATGTAAATCTGAACACACCTTGTCTGAATGTGAATCTGAACCCTCCTTGTCTGTATCTGAATCTGAACCCCCCTTGTCTGTCTGTAAATCTGAACACACCTTGTCTGTACTTAATGTAAACACACCTTGTCTGAATGTGAATCTGAACCCTCCTTGTCTGTATGTGAATCTGAACCCCCCTTGTCTGTCTGTAAATCTGAACACACCTTGTCTATATGTGAATGTGAATCTGATCACACCTTGTCTGTCTGTAAATCTGAACACACCTTGTCTGTATGTGAATCTGAACCCCCCCTTGTCTGTATGTGAATCTGAACACACCTTGTCTATATGTGAATCTAAATCCTTTCCCGACTTGGTAGCCACGTGTCTGCATGGTGATGTACATGCTGTTGCCAGTGGAGAAGATGAATGGGACGTCACCCACGTCTGTGTCAGCTGTGAACATGTACAGCAGGTTAGCCTTCACAGAGTCACCATTTCGGATCATGATCTTGTCCATGCCCTTCAAGTCTACCTCCATGATCTGAAAAAGAACAATATAAAGATGATCTACACTGATATCTCCAATTTACAACTGGGACAAGAACATTGCTGACAGCACTGCATTCACCACCAAAGAATCCGGATAAAGATATCTGATTGAAACTCAGTGTTCAAATCACATGACTTATGAAGAAATGCTTGTCAGAGTTATGCCAAGGTTGTGCATTATGTAGCTTGTCATAAACAACTCTTTGATTCTTACGTGGAATGATTCTAGACTCAAGTCACAGAATATGGTCAATTTCCAGAAAAGGAGCTAAAAACTGCCATTCCAGAAAGGGTTTAGAAATACATTTCCAATGAGAGTGACAATCTGCATCAGTGTGTCAGTTACTGAAGGCTGGTCAAAAGGTTCTAAGCCTACATAATTCTACATAATCTCCCTGCTTTTCAAAACACTTCTCTTATCGATAGTGAAGCTTATCAATTCCAGTCAGGAAGAAGTTTTCAGAAGCCACCCTGAAAAACCTCTTCAAGGCAGCTTTGAGGTCATCGTTGTCATCATAGCGCTTTCCAGGTGCCAGAACTGGTGAGTATGGAGGGTGGAGGAATTAAGCTCTTCGAACCGACATTGTCGCACAGCAGCCTTTGCAAGTCGAAAGGTGTGAGAAGAGGCATTGTCATGAAATAGTAGAACTCAAGTAGTCAGTATTCCTCGTCACTTTTCTTTGATAGAATATCTCAGGTGATGATGCAAATCAGCTTAGTAGGTACCGGTCATGGTCTTTTGGCTTTCTAAGTAATCCACAAGGATCACACCCTTTGCATCCCAGAATACAGTGTCCTTAACTTTCTTTACTGATCTTGAAGACTTGAATTTCTCTGGTGCTGGAGAAGTGGAATGGTGCCATTCCATGGATTGATGTTTTGACTTTGGATCATAGTGGTAGAACCATGTTTCATCACTTGTTACTAATCTCTTTTTGAACTTGACGAAATCCACCTCAATTAGCTCTAACTTTTCTCTGGCAATGTCAGTTCTTTTTTTCCTTAAGATCAGAATTTAAAAACTTTGGCACTCAAAGAGAAGATGTTTTATTTATCTGTAAATGTTCACGAATAATAATAGATCCATGGCTAAGACCTTCCTCAAGTTCAGCAATGGTAACCCATCTATCTCCTTCATTGAATCTTCATTGATGGAAGTTGAGGGACGTCCAGACCTAGGGTCATCATCAAGGCTTGTTCTCCCAGCCTTAAACATAGCTTGCCATCGTTTAAATGTGGAATACACTTGTGACAAGCGGTCAAATTACAGCTCTTACTGTGAAAGTGATGCATGGTCTAAATCAGTTTGTCAATACACAACACTTACTGTGAGAGTGATGCATGGTCTGAATCAGTGTCAAAATAAAACACTGGCATAAGGTCAATAATTGGCACAATGATCTTCATTTGTGTCAATTATTCAGCACTTACGTTGAGTGTGATGGTCTGTGTCTGCATCAGTGTGTCAATTACTCAACACTAACGTTGAGTGTGATGGTCTGTGTCTTTATCAGCATGTCAATTACTCAACACTTACGTTGAGTGTGATGGTCTGTGTCTTTATCAGCAAGTCAATTACTCAACACTTACGTTGAGTGTGATGGTCTGTGTCTTTATCAGTATGTCAATTACTCAACACTTACATTGAGAGTGATGATCTGTGTCTGCATCAGTGTGTTGATGATCCAGGTGTAGTCCTTATTTCCAAAGTACATGGACGGGTAGTTTGGGGCATTGAGGAACTTCGGAGCATCTATCGCCTGGAGATTCTGGAATGGCTGAAGATTGGCACTCCCTGAAGACAAAAACATACACATGCTGCTACCTGTGGACAACTGATACCCTTATTTGAGCAACAATGAAATTAACAGGTACAAACAGTCAACTCTTGTTTCCTGGACACCATATATAACCAAATAAATTTTATTTATCTCTGGTGATTTCCTCTTTACTTACCATGTTTTAACACCTGGCAACTAATAAGTAGACATTTTGGACAATTACGCCTTGCGACTTTGTAATAGTTCAGGTCAAAACTATACTTTCTTCAGCTGATATTGTTAATGAGTCAGAACTAACACAAATCAACCCAGATAATACACTAAAGCAAGTGGTGCAGATAAAACTTACTTCCACTGAATTCAGCTCTGAAGCCAAGTGCATTGCTGCTGCTGTCGGAGGTGAATTTGACAATGATGAAGTTGTTGAAGCTGGTGAACTCAGGAAGACTGGCCTGCCTATCCCCGGACAGGGAGGCCACAAGCTGCCCCTGGGTCTCAGTCTGTCCTCCAACCAACACTTGCACTATATCAGCCCCCATCTCCGTGGAGAAGTTGGTGAACTGTTACAGAGAGGCAAACACAATATCAAGTGCACAGGTTTATTTTTTTCAATTTTATCATATATTTGTGAAGCTTTTTATGAAATAATACTAAAAATGAAGTTAACAAGCTACTAGCAAATCGAGTTGAGGGGTCGTGGCTATCAAGTACTTAACTACACAGAGAGATGTATTGTTTTATACAAATTTGATCAATATATCAGTCATTATATAGCAGACCACCCCAAGAAATGGTACACACATTGTACTGCTGTTGGAGTCATTATCCACACAGGGTGTAGCATATTTGGGAATCAAAGTTGCCAATTGTAAAAATACCTTCCATTGAGTACATTCATGTCACAATACCTGTGCCGACAATGACCCCATCAACCACTTTCCTACCCCGCTACACAATAGACTCTAATATAATGGATGATAATACAATCATGATATCTGTTGTGGCTATAGAATTGCCAAAAGGCTCTCTGCACAAACCTGTCTACAACAGAATATACTAGATGTCAGATGACAAGTTAGATGAATTGGTAAATTTATGTATTCAAATATTTCCCACATACTTTGAGGTAAACATTCTGTCCAAGCGGGACGTGGATCACCCACTGACAGTTCCTAGCATCTGGGTAGTTGCTTGGGTAGTTGTTGGAGCTGATTGAGCCTGCAGCTTGGTTTAAGTAGTACTTGCATCGACTAGCTGGAAGAGACAGATGGTTACATGAGAACACATGATGTCATATATCACCTCATACAATGGTACACTGAGAAAAGATACATACGAAAGATAATAATGTACAAACAGAACCAGTTTGAATATAAAAATTATACTTTTGGCGCGTTAGCACACATTTGCTGTTTCAAGAAAAGAATTCTTGTCACTGGAATTTTTTCAGACATCCAGGAAAATAACAAAGGTAGATCTAGTGACACTAGCGATTTTCTAAATCAATGGACACTCTGCAAAACAAATCAAACTGCTAGGCTGGAGGAAGAGAATTAATAGATGTCAACTTCTTTATTTTAAGGAGTACTCCTTCATCATTTTCACCTGATGAAGGAGTAAGCATATTATACATGTACTCTGAAACGTTCTGTTCCTCATAATAAAGAAGCTGACATCTATAAATTCTCTTCCTTATGTGTATCACTTCTAAATGCCTTTCAAAGACTTGCTAGGCTAGAGTTCCTGATCTATTTTCCATATCTACAAATATTCAAATTACGAATATATCGATACTGTTACAGCGAGTGTAGATGCACAAGCCAGAAGCCAACATCAAGCACTTTGCGCTAATTTTTTTAAATGATTAACTAGTTTTCAGTTATTTGAATTACATTCGCTATTGGATAAAATGGCAAGAGTTGCGTACCCTAATTTTCTAGCCTACTGGACCCTATTTTAGTGACCACAAGCCAGACACCACACTGACAGAATATTTGCCATTAGAACCACACAAAAATATAAATTACCATGCAATTTTCATCTCAGAAAGTTGTAACATTTGTTCCTCTCAAAGACATGTATGTAAAACATAAATTAGTTGAATATTTCTCAACTGGCTATACCAAGCAGACGACAACGGTACACGGGAATGACAGCACAACACTAAGAGGGGTCGTAAGTCCGTGCAACGAAGGTGTCACGCGCTGGGGAGTTTGAGGGTGACCAAGGGTAGATAACTCTAAATTGCAAATAATGTGCATAGGAGGACATGACACGAAGGAACACCTGTTCAAATCTCTCCTTATGTTTTGGCAAACTTTATTTTTAGTTTTGTATAATTTCCCCCCAACTTTTGTTGTTATAGTGCTATTTTAGTAGCCCCTTTGATACATATTCCTGTAGACTAAGTGTACTTTTCTTACAAGGTTCTTAGAAACTGACACGAATCTATTACTAGTATTTGTGTTTCTTTTAACAGGTTTCAAACCTCACTGTTTGATGTAAAACATTTTGTTTCAGCAGTTTTATGATCGGTTTTGAGTTTTCGCACATGTTATTTTAGTGTAGATTTGGGTTGAATGTTGTCAAGAGAAGCATATGCACTATAGAATTGTAAGTTATATGATCCTGTCATTACCAGATCGAATCATAAAACGAAAAGGACGGAAACGTAAAAGAAGCTTTATAAGCTTTACGCTCTTACCACAGTTCCTTTCATCAGAGGCATCTCCACAGTCATCGTCTCCATCACAGACCAGGTTCTGGTTTATACATTGGCCATTAGTACAATGGTAGCTCCCTAAAACACAAAATAAATAAATAGTCATCGTCTCCATCACAGACCAGGTTCTGGTTTAAACATTGGCCATTAGTACGATGGTAACTCCCTAAAACACCAAATAAATAGTCATCGTCTCCATCACAGACCAGGTTCTGGTTTAAACATTAGCCATTAGCACAATGGTAGCTCCCTAAAACACAAAATAAATAAATAGTCATCGTCTCCGTCACAGACCAGGTTCTGGTTTAAACATTGGCCATTAGTACGATGGTAACTCCCTAAAACCCCAAATGAACCAAATGAAGTATGCACTATTTGGAATGCTGAACTTGATATAATACATGTTCTGAACATTAAACAAAGTAACAAGATGGCTGCCATGATGTATCATATGGTAGTTATAGCCTCCATTCATGTAGAGGTTTCCTTACCAGATGGACAAGCTGGTCTCTGACAAACATAGGACAACTTCATTTCACAAGGACCAAATGACCAATAATATGTGTCCATTTTCTTCATGACGTAGACACATTTTCCAAATTTGTCAGAATCTGGTTGATCATTTTCCCAGAAACCTGCTGCAATTGATGTTACTTGACCGTCGCTCCAATATCCTATCCGCTGATTACCAGGGGAAGCATCTCTTCGAGTGAAACCTGGCAGAAAGGGAAGACAACCAGTGAGTGAGTCAGTGAGTTACAGTCTTACCATTATGGGAGGAATCCGTGAATTGGCTACATAGAGTACCAATATTTGGAATTCCACTCTCTTGGTGAATTTGCAGAAATGCGGGCGGCACAACGAAATATGAAATTTAAGCATTGACAAACATCTGTGAAAAACGCATGAATGTACATGGAAGTCAAGACATGATTTTAAATGTCTCTTAACCATATATTTTTTTGTTATTCTTCTCTTGACGTAAATGTTTGACCTCAGGACAGGCAAGACATAGAAACCAGTATGCAAGTAATCAAACAAAGAAAACTTAGTACAGAAGCATGGATACATTTAACAACAAACTGGTCAGAAACTGTAAGATGCATCGAATCCCTAGGCAACTGTAGAAACTGCAGGGATGCATGCAGCCAGAAGGTCGTATAGATGCAGCTCGGGTTCAATTCTAACTGTAACATGCAGTCACAGTGCAAGAATCTCATTGTAGAATGGGGAGATTTTATAGAAAAAGCAAACCTTTATATTACGCCAATGCATTGGGCAGACATGTTTGGAGTATATAGTATAAGTATGGACTTAATTATTAAATTATAACATGATGAACTTCTGTCAATATTCCTGAAATAAATGTCAAAATACATTTTACCTCAGCCTTACAAGAGAATCATATATATAGACATAGATATTGGAGAAAGGAAAACATTGAAAGCAGTGCAGAATGTTATTAATATTAAAAATCGTATATCACTTCTGATAAAATTAATACCTAACGTGTAGATTTAATGAGTCACCTTAAAATTTCGCTGAGATGAATGTTTTTAATGAATAAACATATTGTGTCTTAAATGTTTGCTCACAATTTAATATTCATTATATACTTCATGTCTGTTACATTATGTATCTATACTACACAGTATCAACATTTGACATGCAGGTCTTGAAATACCAAGGGATATATCTCTATATACCTTATTTCGTAACTACCTCCTCAAAATAAGGTACAAAGTGCATTTTTAACACATGCTCATGCAAATTCGTGGAATTCTAATTCTATTTCATTTCAAAATGGCTATATTTAATTCATGAGTTTCATTTCAAATTTATATGCATATGCAATCATGCAATAATTCTCTTCCTTGAACTTGACCAAAATTAATATATTGATTTCATTATAATTTCTTTCTTTTTTTCAGGTTAGCACATCTTATGTAAAACAAATCTATCTTCCGTCAAAGGCCGAACAAATATAGCCATTTATCATTACTATAATGCAATATTTCATCACAAGTTTAAAGCTATCTACATGAATAATTCTACAATGTGAAATTCATGTTGGGATGTAACGCTCGGATCAACCCGTATGACACTAACTGTGTATGTAAAACTATCTACATGTACATGAATGATTCTACAATATGTAATTACTGTTTGAATGATCCAGATGTTAGGAACATAACGTACCTATAAGGGTTCTACGCTAGGATCTAGGAACATCTAAATAAATCTGCTTTTTAATCACTATTAAATATTGAAAAGCATAGGTGATCTTTAACAACATTTAAGAGTGAGTGAGTTTGATTTCACGCCGCTTTTAGCAATATTCCAGCAATATCACGGCGGGGGACACTAGAAATGGGCTTCACACTTAGAACCCATGTCGGGAATCGAACCCAGGTCTTCGGCGTGACGAGCGGACGCTTTAACCACTAGGCTACCCGACCGCACCACAACATTTAAGAACATCCTATTCTAGATTTAAATGTTGCAATTTCAAGCTTGCTGTTGAGACTAGCAGATATGAAATTATAATTTATGATGAAAGGCTATTTGCTATATCCTGTGTATGTCAGTCCTACTCTGAAATGCGAAACATGTTTATTGTAAAATATTTTGGTAAATATCCTACAATGAACAATTTCATTTCTGTCATGCAGAGTAACAGCATTGATGTTGTCAGAAATGTCAGCCTATTCCTGTATAATGTGAATAAAAAAACAAACACTCAATTGTAAATATGATCAAAATGCGCATGCATTGACATGCTTTTGTATGTAGTTTGGTCCGGAGGCCTTATACTGAATATAACTGTCTGTCTGTCTGAATGATTCAGATGTGAGTATATAACATACCTATGAGGGTTATACGCTAGGATCTAGGAACATCTACGAGTCACCTATTAAAAATAACTCACCATATTTAGAATAAATATATCTGCTATACCCTATAGAAAATAAAAACATGTCACCAAGAGTGCAGAAGGAGTCAACAAAACACATGGCAACAAACATGAAAGGTTAGCAACAGAAAATATACAAATCACTGAAAACATATCTGACGACAAGTGCCTACATATGCACTTCTTGTTGATGTTTAAGTGAGTGAGTGAGTGAGTATGGTTTTACGCCGCTTTTAGCAATATTCCAGCAATATCACGGCGGGGGACACCAGAAATGGGCTTCACACATTGTACCCATGTCGGGAATCGAACCCGGGTCTTCGGCGTGACGAGCGAACGCTTTAACCACAAGGCTACCCGACCGCCCCTGTTGATGTTTAAAGGGATACTGCTTCACGGTCTCCATCTTCAGCAATTCGCTGTGCAGAGTTGCGTCCCTTGGACACACCAGAAACCTTTGAATGTGGGTTCGAATCCCGCTCCGCCCCGACTTCGTTTCGAGGTTTGTCAGCACTATACCCTTGCTCGTGGGTTTCACCAAAGGATTTCATCAAAGTCACAACCGTCAAAGACCTGCATCACTTCCGGCTTACCTTCCACATAAAGCTGACACGCCGTGCTATAACTGGAATGCTGTTCAAAGCGGCGTTAAACTCAACTCACTTAACTCCCCATCTTCAGCCTAGGTCTTGACCTAATATTGAGTGCCCTGTATGTGCCCTGTATGGCGTTTTATATGTGTCATTAGGACAATCATAGACTCTTTTATTTATATACATTCTCATATTTGAGGTTTCAGTTCTCATATATTAAGCAATGCTTCATCTTACTGAAGTTACGTTCAGTGTTAACGCGAATAAGCATTCTTTTGCTAAAACTTTCGGATGTTTTCATTGATTTGAAGTGATCACTTAACATCACAAACATTCAACACAACATCAATAAACATATTAGCAACATGAAAAGCCAATGATATACACCATAGCATTAATAAATCAGTGTCAATAAAATGCATATAGTAACCAAGGGTCCGGATTTGAGTCACGGTTGTTAAGTGGTGGGCAGAATGTTATAAATGTTACCAATCACCACAAAAAAGGGTGATAACATATTCAAACGAATACCTAACCATTTTAACCTCGTTAGATAGATATGAATGTTTCTATAGCAATTATTTTGCTCATTAATTATAGTTAATAAAAATAGTTAACAACCCGCTGCAACATGTTACAATCACGTGATATTAAGCACAACATGTAACCGTCTCTGTAGTAAATAATTTCATTAACAAATACGATCGTTGTAACCAGATGTACACACTTCAAGTAAGATATGTCTTATAGTAACTTCCAAATAATTCATTTAAAAGAAATATGGTAGGATCTTCACATCCTGTATTTTCATTAAATTATGTTAATTAGTATATCGTCAGTACATTCGTGAGTGTTTATATGGAAATAAAAAGCATTGTCCAACTTACCAATCCAATACTTGTCTGTACTGAGACTGCTTGCGAAATTGCCCACATCCTGGTTTTCATAAAAGTCTGTGACTTTTGCCATTTCAGCTCCGTAGCTGTAAAAAAATACGAAAACCCCTTACCAATCCGATTGGACATAGATAGCCTCGATGACTCTGATACCTATGATAATGCTAATCAATATATCAGGAGTGAATTAGTGAATTGGATGTATTGAGAAAATCAACAACATACTGATTAAAGATTCCAAAACTTGACGGTTTTGTAAGATAATGTAGGAAAAATAATTCAACATAAATCAACACAATCACCCCTGCAGTGTATGGCAATGGCTCACAACACAAATACGCCTCTATGAAACCTACAGTGTATGACAATGACTCTCAACATAAATACGCTTCTATGACACCTACAGTGTATGACAACGACTCTCAACATAAATATGCGTCTATGACACCTACAGTGTATGACAATGACTCTCAACATAAATATGCGTCTATGACACCTACAGTGTATGACAACGACTCTCAACATAAATATGCGTCTATGACACCTACAGTGTATGACAACGACTCTCAACATAAATATGCGTCTATGACACCTACAGTGTATGACAATGACTCTCAACATAAATATGCGTCTATGACACCTACAGTGTATGACAATGACTCACAACATAAATATGCGTCTATGACACCTACAGTGTATGACAACGACTCTCAACATAAATATGCGTCTATGACACCTACAGTGTATGACAATGACTCTCAACATAAATACGCCTCTATGACACCTACAGTGTATGACAATGACTCTCAACATAAATATGCCTCTATGACACCTACAGTGTATGACAATGGCTCACAACATAAATACGCCTCTATGACACCTACAGTGTATGACAATGACTCTCAACATAAATATGCGTCTATGACACCTACAGTGTATGACAATGACTCTCAACATAAATATGCGTCTATGACACCTACAGTGTATGACAATGACTCTCAACATAAATATGCGTCTATGACACCTACAGTGTATGACAATGACTCACAACATAAATATGCGTCTATGACACCTACAGTGTATGACAACGACTCTCAACATAAATATGCGTCTATGACACCTACAGTGTATGACAATGACTCTCAACATAAATACGCCTCTATGACACCTACAGTGTATGACAATGACTCTCAACATAAATATGCGTCTATGACACCTACAGTGTATGACAATGGCTCACAACATAAATACGCCTCTATGACACCTACAGTGTATGACAATGACTCTCAACATAAATATGCGTCTATGACACCTACAGTGTATGACAATGACTCTCAACATAAATATGCGTCTATGACACCTACAGTGTATGACAATGGCTCACAACATAAATACGCCTCTATGACACCTACAGTGTATGACAATGGCTCACAACATAAATACGCCCCTATGACACCTACAGTGTATGACAATGGCTCTCAACACAAATACGCCTCTATGACACCTACAATGTATGACAATGACTCTCAACATAAATATGCGTCTATGACACCTACAGTGTATGACAATGGCTCACAACATAAATACGCCTCTATGACACCTACAGTGTATGACAATGACTCTCAACATAAATACGCCTCTATGACACCTACAGTGTATGACAATGGCTCTCAACACAAATACGCCTCTATGACACCTACAATGTATGACAATGACTCTCAACATAAATACGCCTCTATGACACCTACAACATATGACAATGACTTTCAACACCTATAGCCTAGCCACCCATATCGTATGACAGTGTTATGCAATATTTCTTAGCCTCTACATGTATGACACCTAAAATAGATGACAATGACCTACAACACACACGGCCTCGCCGACCCTTAGGCCTATGACTAAACCATACTTATCCCATCTTCAAAGAGCTGTTAAATACAGGTGTAGGGATCCTTGTCTTCTTCAAATACACAATTAGGACTAAGCTGAAGATCAGGTTACAGGTATCACATCATAATCTTCACGTTTTAAGGGCTGGGAGTGCAATATTTTACTTGACTAATCATATGCTTGCGTTTATGAGTCACTATCAAACAGTGACGATACCAGGTGTTCTCATGGCCTCCGTGGTCTAGAGGTAGGGAGTCCGCCCGGAGAGCGGAAGGTCCGGGGTTCGATCCCGGGCTGGCCATACCAAAAGACGGTAAAAGATGGTATTTGTTGTCACCCTGCCTGGCGCTCGGCATTAAGGGGGTAAATAAAGGTCTGATCGGCTCGGAGCGCCTGAGTGGGGTATTTACGGTATCTCAGTGGGCTAGCACTATAACGTCGGCATTAGACCTGACAAGTACAAGCAGACACGCACGCACGCATGAATTTGCCTTAAGGATGTCTTTTGGAAACAAGGTCAAACTGTCTCTGGTATGCACCTAATATATCATTTCATCACTAAAATACAGCTCTTGGACAGTTTGTGATTTATGGGTGCCACATTGAGAATGATCGTTGACATAATCAGTAAAATATGCCCCGAAATACATCAAAAACACAGGCAGTACCAATATCTTGACACACCCTTCATAAGAATGTGGACAGCATCGGGGCGTCCTGTACATTGTAATTAGGCGTCACATTGTCCTCGTCATAACTTCTAGATTGACACCTGTCTTACAGGCCTGATGATTTGTGTCAGAAATGGATGAAATGTGAGATAAGTGACAATTCGGACATTAGGAATCAAACCATCTTGTCCGGTGGTTTCTTGCGGACAAACCCGAGAAGATCCGGGGTAGAATAGGTGTTCAGCAACCCATGCTTGCCGTAAAAGGCGACTATGCTTGTCGTGAAAGGCGACTAACGGGATCGGGTGCTCAGGCTCGCTGACTTGATTGATGCATGTCATCAATCCCAATTGCGTGGATCGATGTTCATGATGTCAATCACTGGATTGTCTGGTCCAGACTCGATTGTTTACAGACCGCCGTCATATAGATGTAATATTGCTGAGTGCGGCGTAAAACAACAAGTCATCCATCCATCTAGCGGACAATAAATTATCTCCCTTTGATAATGGGTTAAATTCTCTGGTAACAGTGTGATCCCACAATTCATCAGGATATCTACTCTGAATGTCAATCAGTGACTGAAATCATGAACAACAATCCACGTCTAAGGGCACACTATCAGGCAAACAGGCATGTCACAAAGTCTACCACCACATCCGTTTTTTACGATCCTTACAACAAGCTTTGAAATACCAAGACACTCACGTGGCCTTCTATATCTGAAATGAAATTTTGATATTTTATATCTCACTTACCTTTTACAAATTTTGACAGCACTTTCCCATGGTACGATTCCTTTATATAACTTGTAACACTGAACACCAATGCGCGTCCAACCTATGAAGCAATTGATCATTGAAACTACATGTATCAATTTTAAATATTACAGTACACTACGGTTATAACGAACTCAAAGGGACCGCTAACTTTAGTTTGTTATAACCGTAGTTCGTTATAAGCATATATACAGCATAACTATTATAGTAAAATAGTCGGGACAAAAAAATCAGTTCGTTATATCCGTCAGTTCGTTATAAGCGTGAATATTCGCTCAATTTATATATCTTGGTATAGACTTATTGAAATACAAAACAAATATACAAAAAATTAAAATAGAACCTCCTCAGTCGCAATACATCTTACAATAATATGAGTTGGAAATAAACATTGTTTGATATATGGACATATGAGAAACGATTTGGAATTAAAATTTAACCAAGGTTTTGTCTGTTTTGAAAACAACCAACAATATTTAGCACTGATTCAAATTCTTAGATAGTGAATTCCTCCTACCTGACTGGCAGTCCAATGGAACATCATCCTGAAAGTAAAAGGAAAGAATAAGAAAACGATAACAGACGAAGAAACGCATTTAAGCCTTGTTCCCTGTCTTTGACCTGTATTGTCGTAAAGTTGTGTATCTCTGTTTTCTTTATAAATCAACATGTAAATAAATAAATAAATAAATAAATAAATAAATAAATAAATAGTACTTAAGAATTTACATTCTAAAACTGAACATACTTTAAAAAAAATACTACCGGGATAAGGGATGAATTTCATACCCTAGAAATGAAGTCTAGCACTATAGTGCAATGTTAATATGTTCTTTACAAATCTTTCATGGCAATTGGAAATTGGAAGCTGAGACTTATACAATCTTTTGTTTACTTAAGTGAGAGATGTACCAAACACGTCGTAAGTTGAAAATGACCTTCGGTTTTCTGTGAAATAGTCCTCAAGCTATATATTTATTTACTCAAATATTCTCCTGTAGAGTAAGCATTTGTTCTACTTTGTACTTCGCATCTGATGAGCTGTGTGGTCTGGTAAAGCACATTCTCAAGATTTATACGTTCTTTTCCACTGTCAATTTTAACTGTTGGCTTAGTCAAGTTTATGGGGATGGTGAGTGTCAACCCGTCACAGATGCCGCCCCGTGTGTCCCATTAATCACGGGACACCAGGACACTTCAGCCCTGCTGCAGAAACGCAAGATTGTCTCAGCAAAGTTGTCGGACAACTCCGAACTATCGCATTTCACAATCCGGAAATGGGGCGCGGTCGACACGTGATCATGGATGTGTCTCGAAGAGCTCGAATATTGAATGTTTTTTAGTGTTGTTTTCATATGTAAATGAACGTTTTCTTACTTAGGGATATGATATAACCATAACTTTATCGAAACTACAGTTAATACATCAATAAAAAAGGTTATTTGGCGACTGTACCTCTTCTCCTAAATCCTTGCACCGTTACTAACTTTATCGAAATGACAACGGACTTTCTGTAGCCAAATAGAATGTATGTCCAATATAAACTTGATGCCGTAAACGCTAATACATAAACTACACCCTCGTTCTCTAAAACGTGTTCGTTTCTATTGACGGACAGGAAAATGAATAGAAGAACTAATCTGGACCAACACTGTTGCACATATTGTCATGGACATGAACAGAAACCGAGCTATGACTTGCAACCAGCCTGTTCCATGATACGAAAAGGTGTTATGTGTAGATGGAGTACTTTTTAGTCGAATTTAAACTTATTATAATGGACATTTTACTTTTACTATATATTATCCATTACTGTTTAGCGCCACATATGTCCTGCCCTTTACTTACTGCGGAATGTGTAAAGATGCTCTTAAATGGGACTAGGATCGGGCAAAATGACAGACACAGCTAATTCAAGTCAAAAATTCTTTTTAAAAAGTCTGGAAAACATAACTTTATTTGTCCGCAGGCTTAAACTTTTCAGTTCTTAGTTCCTCAAAAGGCACTTATAACGACATTTAGAAACTGGTCTGAGGTAATGGAGGACAACCATAGCACCCATTTGAAAATTGTTAATGTCCCTGTTACCTCTATATTCCAGACAGCGTGTTCAATCTATACCTCGTGACGATATTTTTTTCTGGATATGCCGGTCATGCAATTGGTGGTTTGAATACACACAATGACATCTTTGCACATCCGTCAGCTTTATGTTTGAGCTTGGTGTGAATGTTTTTCACAAGTCGAATGCACAAATACACTATAGATTCGCAATTTCACCCTGATTTTATATAAATAAAAGCTACAAATTTTTTTTTCATAAACAAAAGAAATCTCTACTAAACCGGAGATTCCGGGTTAGAATGGGTGCCCGGTATTTCATGCTTGTCGTAAGACCGGGAGCATTCGTCACCACTCGCCCCTTTCCGTAACCATATTCGGCTTGTCCCGGAATAACACGAGTTGGTCACGAATGGACCGGGAGATGACAAGATGTGACCTGGCTGGTTGTGTGTGTGTCATCTTACGTGTGTGTCGTGGATCATGTGCAGGTCGCTGTGATATCGCTAGAACAGTGCTGACTGCAGCCAAACACAATTCACGTCTTGTAATATAACTTATGTGACACTAACACGCTAACAACCAGTAATGTGACAAAAGGTTGTATCAGTGTAATATTACCATATTATAATACTAGGCTTTGCGTTCAAAGTGTTGTTTTTTTTATAGTTGAAATGTACAATAGTGGTGTATCGTCTCAATCATTGGAATACATGTAATCCTATTTTGTAGACTACAGATGTGTGGCGTTCGAAACCTCAACTAACCTTTCAAGAACTATCCCAGGTGATCAAATTCTTGTGCGCTTAGACAACTATCGACGTTCTATTGTGAACCATTAAGCATTACTGACACCGATATCTATCATTGATAATACACACTACGCTGCTGTTGTGATAGAACATGTTTATACACCACTTCCGGGTTGCGATAGTTTAACTAGAACTTATAAAATCAATGTTTAAATATATTTTTAATCATGGTTTCAACTATTGCCTCAGAGATTTATTCAGATTCCTTTAAAATTTAGCACAAGGCATAAGGCAGCATCCTTATTTACAGTATGGTCTATTAGCGACTCTCCGCTATGGACTATGGATGATTCGATATACTTCGAGTTCACACTTCTGTAGTTGTACAGTTCACAACTCACAAGCAAATTACGGCAATCTTCAGAAAAAATAAAAAGTCAACGCCCGAGAATAATCAGTCTGAATTACCTGCCGAAACAGATTCCATTGGGCGTTAAAGTCAAAATAGCGGTGAATCTTATATGAAAGGGTAACTGAAAATCAGTGATGACACCAGGTGTCATGGGTAAACAATGTTGAAATCCATGTTAAAAGTGACCAAAACTTGTATTCGAAATTTATTGTTTTAAGATATAATACGCAGTGAAGTGTAACAGGCTTAAATTAAACCTCACTGGCATGAAGCAGGGCACCAAACACCATACTATAGAAACATTCGACCAATGCCAGATTAAGTGTCTCCTAATCCGCACACAATTAGTGGTTTATAGAGCAGCACTCTGTTTTTTCTCCGACAGGCAGTATTCTGCTCTGAATGTCAATATATAATGTGTGCAGTGGCATTATGTACAATCGCTTGAAGGGATATGTTGTTTGAATATAGCTCAATGATCTTAGTCGTGTCAGATTGCGCCAGATACCACATGACATGGAAACCCTTAGGCCTACGCACAATAGCATTAGGACGAAATCAATTCAACTTGTATATACTCGTGTATGTGGACTATTACGCTTCGTTAGAGAAGACAGAATGTGTTCGTTTTTTTCATTCTTCGGATTAAGAAGGTATAACAATATGTCGAGATTGGTACTGTAGACTTCTGAAGGGGCCAATATGAAATAGAATGAATCATCGGCTGTAACGTATATCTTGACATACGGATTCCATTAAAGTTGTGATTAACAAGAGTAACGTAAATAAAAGCGACAAAACCCTTTCCGTATTCAAAAGAAGACATTATTCATTTCAATAATGACATATATTGATTACAAAAATGTGTTTCGAATTTGATTCAAACTCAACTGAAATAACATTTCAGCAATCCTGCTTAGACGTTATATTTTACAGAAAAAATTAAATCTTTGAGTCATATTTTCGTTTTATATTGCGTAACATTCTAGGGTGAGTTTACAATACACTGCGGTCTCCGTACTTTCTTAATACCACAACACCCCGTAGAAATGCCGGGGCAGAACATGGTTCTTAAACCAGAGTGTCCTAAGTAAGATGAGGATCGGGTGGCCGATTGGGTGTCACCGTACTCCGACTGCGTATACCGTTGCTCAAGCTATCAACCACTGGTGTTCCTGGCTCAGACCCAGATATTTACGTCGTTTACCTGTAAACAATCGATTCTGGACCAAGCAAACCAGTGACTGATATTTTGAGCAACAATCCACGCCGTCGGGGTACGATGACACGCCGTCAAGCAGGTCACTGAGCCTGACCAACCGATACATTCTGTCTTCTGCACAGTATTTAATAATATACAGGAAGGAAAGGGACGCCAGTGCAGTACCGGTACTTGTGGTTCAAAACCTTCAATTTTGGTAATCATTTTACACATTAAGGCTAAGTCGTGTTTGTCGCTGAACACCGCACTCAGCAACAGTCCAGCTTTAGACTTTTTTTCTGTAAAAAGATCGAGTCTGGATCAGACAATCTAATGATTGAGAGATTGAGGAAATATCCACGCCGTGGGGGTCGAGAACACACTGTCAACCAAGTCACCGAGCCTGGCCACCCGACCCATAAAGTCACAGAGCCTGGCCACCCGATCCATCAAGTCACCGAGCCTGGCCACCCGATCCATCAAGTCACCGAGCCTGGCCACCCGACCCATAAAGTCACCGAGCCTGGCCACCCGACCCATAAAGTCACCGAGCCTGGCCACCCGATCCATCAAGTCACCGAGCCTGGCCACCCGATCCATCAAGTCACCGAGCCTGGCCACCCGATCCATCAAGTCACCGAGCCTGGCCACCCGATCCATCAAGTCACCGAGCCTGGCCACCCGACCCATAAAGTCACCGAGCCTGGCCACCCGACCCATAAAGTCACCGAGCCTGGCCACCCGATCCATCAAGTCACCGAGCCTGGCCACCCGATCCATCAAGTCACCGAGCCTGGCCACCCGATCCATCAAGTCACCGAGCCTGGCCACCCGATCCATCAAGTCACCGAGCCTGGCCACCCGATCCATCAAGTCACCGAGCCTGGCCACCCGATCCATCAAGTCACCGAGCCTGGTCTCCCGACCCATCAAGTCACCGAGCCTGGCCACCCGATCCATCAAGTCACCGAGCCTGGCCACCCGATCCATCAAGTCACCGAGCCTGGCCACCCGACCCATCAAGTCACCGAGCCTGGCCACCCGATCCATCAAGTCACCGAGCCTGGCCACCCGATCCATCAAGTCACCGAGCCTGGCCACCCGATCCATTAAGTCACC